TAGACATCTCCATGATATTCGTAGTAATTTAATATAACTTCAATTTGAATAGAAGTATATTTGAAAACACAAAAAATTTAATATTATTATAATTATGATGAAGCGTTCGTTCACGTCGAAAGCGCAAAAAAGAAATTAATATGCTTAGAAACAACGAAGAACTTTTTAAAATGAAAGTTTTCTTCTACTTTCACTCACAAAAAGGCCCAAAAACAGTGGTCAGATATTGCTGAAACTTTAAATGGTTTAATTAATGTTGTCGCGGATGGTTTACAATTTCTGCAGCTTGCAAATTATTCATTATATTTAGAATTAATAACAAATTATTTGGATCCATTACAAATTTCAAATGATTACGCACCTTCGAACAGCGAATGAATGAAGTGACAATTCGCGCATGAGCATGAGATGACATTTGGATTCAAACTATGCGGAGAAAACGCCAATTCCCCCGACAAAACCCTGTGGAATGATTTCTCTTGATATCTAGAGAAAATATTCCACAAGGAAATTTCAAAAATCACATTATCTGCGTGTCAAGAGAAAATGACGTAATTTTCTCTAATGAACTAATTCTCCTGTTTTCAAAAATCAAGCCCCTGATAGTAAAATTCGCAGATTACGGTACATAGCCTAGGTTGTATCATCCTGAAAGAACAAGAAGAAGAGGAACAGTCTATGTTTGTAGAAATTTCGAGCAATTTTTTTTAACCTCAAAACAGTTGGGGATGTTCTGTGCCTCAAAACAACTGTCAGTGATAGCGTAGTGTTGTTGAAATCGACGCTACTGACAGCATCTATAAAATTTCCAACTTTAAGTATATTTACTGCTAAACGTTAAAAATGGCAAATAAAATTGAAGAGGTAAATATTAAATTACACAATGAAGTTCTCAATTCCACGGTTCCCATACTTTTTAGTTGAAAAAGGATATTGCTGAACTTGAACATTTCGAGAAATTGGCTACTAGACAGAAAAATAAAGACATATTAAGTATTGAGATAAGGAAACTTACTTCGGAAGTCATAAATTTGGAGGAACAATATAAAAACCAACTTGCTGTACCTACAAATTCAGCTAATCCTACTCAGTCTACAAATAGGCGATATGAAGTAAAATTAAATAACTATGGTAAGAATTATTAGAATAATTCATTCCTTGGCTTTAAGTTGATCGTTTTAGCTTGGGATCAGTCTAATAAATTCGTTAAATTCTATGTAACTCTGAAAGATGTTCACAATATACCTGCAGAGAATATAAAATGCGATTTTACTCCAAAAAATTTGGAACTGAAGGTAATTGACTTGGAAAATAAAGATTATGTTCTCAGATTAAACTGTTTATTGAGGCTGATAATACCAGAACAATCTAACTGGAAAATAAAGACGGGTAAAATATATTGATTAATAGTCATAAAAGCTTTTACTTACAGTGTAAATTTTTAGATATGGTCGTGATTAATGCCGCTAAAAAGGAGCCGGAAAATTGGTCGCATGTTACTGAATGGGAAAAGAAATCAAGTGATGCAAAAAATTTGAAGCCTGATCTGGATGACAAAAACTCCGATCCCAGCGATGGACTTATGTCATTAATGAAAAATATGTAAGTACATTGGAGATATTAATATCTATTAATTAAAGAAATATACATAATGTAAAGATATTTTGATTACGTTTTAAAATATGAAAGTAATGTTTGTTTATTTTGTTATTAATGAAATATATTTTTTAGGTATGAGAAAGGAGATGATGAAATGAAAAGGACAATTGCTAAAGCTTGGTCTGAGAGTCAGTCAAAACTTCCTCAATTCTAAAATGTAGTTTTTAATTGCTAGAATTTAATTTTTGTACTTTTTATGCTGCATTGCCAAATAGTATAATTTTTTTTCAATAAATATAGTTACTTGTGACGCTTTATTTCTTGTGTATATGTAATTCTTTAATAAATATTTCAGTTTTGTAATAAAATGTTTTACTGGTGATTAATTGATCTTTTCCTTTACTATTTATAATTGTCGGGGTCTGGAAACCTAGAAAATCTGGAATGGAGCGTTTATCACCATTTTAGATATAGAAATTATTAGATTATAGATTAGATTAGAAAATGAAACAATGTCGCAAGAAAACTTCCCCTGTATTTTTGTGTGAAATCGTTATTTTACTTAAATTAACAAAAAAGTATATACGAATTCGGCTGTGAAGCACTAAACTATGCCTTAATTACGCCATCTATTAATAGGAAGCTCAACTAAAATCTCATACTTTTATTAAGTAACAAAGACAGGAATTACATTGACAACAATATTGTTTTAATCAACGGGAGTTCCTTAAGAAACAAGTTTTCTGTGATAACAATTTCCAGTGTTTAGCACTTCAGAAGATGAATTAACAAATAAGATCCACTTCTTATTTGTGGAAGGGTGAAATGGGCGGTGACTCTTAGACGCCTTCATTATACCCATCTTTCTCTATCGCACGGATGTCTATGACTTACTTAATCGCTCTCACGTAACGGCCGATGAACCATGGGGACTTTCCGACCCTGTATATTGATATAAGCATAATATCTTAAAGTTCAAATCAGGTTTTAACATTTTTTATATGGTTCTGTAATGTAAACTGTATTAGTAGTTTCACTAAAAATGCCTAAATTTTTTATTTAAAAAATTTTAATTGAAATAGCTACCCCATTGTTATCAACTTGTAAATATTATTATTACAGAAAAATTTTCATTCTCTAAAATTAAAGGAAATCTATTTTTGGATAAATGGTTTAAACAATGCTTCATTATGTGAAGAATATAGGAAAAAAGTATTAAGCAGGGGAAAAATCAGGGAGATGAGTTTTTTGAGGTGGAGCTCAACCACTGGCAGTGCACTGCATATTTAACTCATGAGAACGCACGCAATAGTTAGCTAGATTCAATCTCAGATCAAGCCGAAAAGAAGAGAATTAAGAAAATATCAATATAGAAGACCAATTATATGGTGCAGGCATCTCTGATTTAAAGTACTTATATAACAAATTTCTTATGCTGAATGTTACAAAAACTTTTAAAAATGTGTTTTGCGAAAAACCACTTTTTTTAACTGGCAGTTTTCAATGAATTGACTTGAAATTTTGTACAGTGCTTCACATTAACATAATTCAGGGAACATCGTAGGGGTTTTTCAATTGATTAACAGTTTTCATTGTTATTAACGATTTAATGCAAAATGTTTCGTTTCTTTTTCAATGTTCAGTAAATCAACAAAAATTATGTTTTAATTTCCCTATGATGTCCCCTAGCTTCTAGTATATGTACATCAAGAAAATTTTTTTTTTGTTTCAAAAGAAAAAAGGTGTTGCTTGCCATCACCTGCAGCTGCCATTTTGAATAAAAAGTATTTCAAAAATTCGCAATACTACCTGAAAACATGTACAATAAAGTCTTTTTGTTCCTGACACTACATCTTGTATCAATTTTTCGTTGAAAATTCCTCAAAACCACTTTTTTATCCTCTAGAGTGGCGTTACCCCATAAGTAACTTCTGTGAGTCTCCTTATTACTAAACAAAAAGAAGACAATGGTATGTGATTTTAGTTGAACTTTTTATTAACAGATGGCTTAATTTAGTACGGCACAATCGTCCGCCAAATTCGGTTTAGTTTTAATTTTTTTTTAAATTTCCACTTAATGATTTATTCATACAAAAATAAAACAATACAGGTCAAGTGTTCTGTTACATTATTTAACTTTCTGTTAACTGTTAACTGTCTGTGTAATACCTGAAAAGGTGGTAAAATCAGAAATTACAGGCACATTTCATGAACCAAATTTATCAAATGCTTTTTCAGTAAGGAATGGTTAAATAATTTGAAAATGCTGTAATATTTTATTTTGAAAAAAAAACTGGTAATACAAAATAACAATCAACAGTCAAACTCTCTATAAAAAATATGTTTTTAAATAAAATAATACAAATAACTAAAAAAAAATCAGATTTATATTCTCTAAACTCGTAAGTATTGCACAAATGAGAATTTATTCTTCTCTCATTACCGAATAATAAATTATTAAAAAAATCAATGATATAACGGAAGTGTAATAGAACTAAAATATTTTTGGTTTTAGTAGAGCCTAAAATCTTGAAAATTAAATAAATATTGTGCTAAGCTAGTCCCAAAATTATCGGCAAAAACAAAACTATCTCGTAAAAAATTCGTCAACAGATAAAAAAAACCTGAACGACAATTTTGGGATTAAGCAAACACCCATAATAAAAATAAATAAACTCTTATCTATATGGCATATTTGGTATGTACGCTAATATAGCTGAATTCCATTCCAGTAAAAAAGTCACAAATCAACAGTGGTATTTCTTTGGTTAGTTGCTACATAAGAAATTTTTTTACCAGAATAAGGCACACCCAGCTATTTGGTGTCACGGCTATAACCTTAATTCTGGGGAAATACTACAACTTGGCACTTGCAGCTTTTGTATAACGTCGTGCATTTGCGGATGATTGTGTCCGCTGTAGGACAGTAAGATGGGACCGTGCAAAGTAGTTATGCAACCTTGACAATTCAAGGTTTTCTTTTTTACACACACCCAGAGGGTTCGATTGTCTTTTTTATCACAGGCGGTATAGATGTGGCCATTGTGGATGAGCACCAGTTGCCCCCTCCCACTTTTCAAGAGAATTAGACCTAAAAGGTAACAAACATTTACTACTGATTTGTTCGACAGGTTCAAATAAAAAAAAAAAATAGTAAAAAGCATCATAACTTTGTGAAATGACTACACAAATAAAATATTTCAATTAAAACATCACTGAAAAATGAGATAAGGCACTAATAAAGACCAATATAAGAATTGGTAAAACCATAAATTGCTATTGTTACTATCACTATTACTGTTACTAATGCTGTCACTGCTGTCGCCTAAGGGCCATCGGAAATTTTCAAGGGGTCATTTGACCCAGCATGAATTACTTATAAATTAATACTACCACATATAACAATAACTTTAGAAACTATGCCGTCAATTCTTGTTGGTACAGGTGAGTACACAGGTAAGCTAAACCTGTCCACCAAAGGGGGGTGGTTTTCGGCAAAATATTTTTATACGGCATTTCTAAAGTATATAGGTTATACAAAAAAAATGAACCTCGACCTAATGCAGTACAAAAATAGCAATACCGGAAGCTAGGAAAATTTTTGTTTTTCCGAAAATTTTGGCCCGGGTTTTGGTGATTTATTACAGTAAGGCATTTATACTACAAGTTTCGGATCGATACATAGATAAATTTTTAAGTGACGCCGTACGTACTTGCTGATACAGGGGTTAAGAATACTGGGTGCAACCCTCTATTTGGAAGTAGTGTATGGGGGATGATTTGAACCAACATCAAATTCGCTAATTTTAATTCAATTTTATAAAATAATGATATTTTTGTCCATGTCGTACATTTTTCATGAGACATGTGCTTACTATAGGAAAATTAATTTTCCTCTGAAAAGTAGGATTTCAAGGTGAAAAATTTTTGTACGGCATTAATATATTTGTTAATACTGACAACAATAATAAACCAAAAAAAATGCTGTACAAAAAAAATTGTTCTAAATGGCTTGAAACATATTTTTGCAAATAAGTATTACTTGCAAGAATTGATTTTATTTTTACTACTATTTTCTCCTTAATACAAATTATTTACTACTGTACGGCCTTTCTATAATAAGACTTACAATATCATATAGAAATATTTTTTAGTAATGCCGTATATATTTGTCAATACAGGAGTGAGAAACCCCGGTTGAAAAATGGTTAGCATTGTTGCTAAAACATTATTTAAGATGTAAAATAATTTTTAAGTAATATGCCGTTAAAAAACCATAGGGCGATATAAAAATTATTAATTTTATAAATTTGAAAAGCTTATGTGTTAATTTTTTTTTTCACAACAATCTTAAAGTTGTTTTTGTAACAAATGCACTTTTAAATTATTTTTATTAATTTTAAACATATATTGTATGCCAATGGCTCCATCACAATTTTTGCATAAATAAATTATTGTTCAAACAATTGTAACAGAAGTTGCAAATATGCAAATGCAAGGGTACTGTTACTTCAAAACATATATTATATCACTGTTTTAAATGTAAGTATTTATATAGGAATTCTCATGAATATTGAGTTAAAATTGTTTATTATTATATTTATTTAAAAATAATACTTTCATGCACGTCATGAAATTTCTAAAATTCTCAAAATATTTTCGCGATTCTCTATACACATTTTTTTTAATCTTAAAGACAATGCAATCATAATTTCTACGGTATAAATTAAATTTCTCTTGAAATTAGGATAAAACTCATTTTGTACTCAGTTTCGGAGAATTGTTCCAACGAATATGTACGGCATTGCAATTTTCAGTCTTTGTCATATTTCTTATAAAAATTTGTAAATGCCATATAGTTATTAATGACCTAAAAATGTAGTAAAAATTTAATGAAAAATATTATCAGCTATGTAAAATCCATTTTTCAATGACTTGAAACAATGGGGGTTAAAATAGAGGGTTGCGACCTGCATTTCTAACCCCTGTATCAGCAGATACGTACGGCGTCACTAAAAAAGTCATCTACGTATCAATCCGAAACTTGCAGTATAAATGCCGTACTGTAGTAAATCACCAAAAACCGAACCAAAATTTTCAGAAAATTAAAAATTTTTCTGGCCTCTGGTATTGCTATTTTTGTATGGCATTAGGTCAAGGTTAATTTTTTTTGTATAACCTGTATACTTTAGAAATGCCATACAAGCGTTTAGCTTACCTGTGTACTCACCTGTACCAACAAGAATTGACGGTATAGTTTCTAAAATTATTGTTATATGTGGTAGTATTGATTTATAAGTAATTCATGCTCGGTCAAATGACCTCTTGAAAATTTCCGATAGGCTTGTAGTTTATTTATTGGGGTTCGGCTCACAGTGATGTGGTGGTAATCGAAGAAATGTAACACCGACAGCTTTAGTCATTTCATCCATTACATACTTCATGTGTTTGGCTATATCTTTTTGTGTAATTGCTAATACTGTACTTTTAATATTGCATCTTTATATTCGATATTTTTTCCATTGAATCATTTGATTTATTCTCTTCTCCATGCTGTTCACAATTTTTCTATTCATCAACCATGGTAAGGTGCTTTATCCATAACAATCACTTCACCGGGTTCGATGTGAGGTAAAATACCCCACTCTCCATATCCTCATAGTAATATCCTGTGTTATGATACATGTAAATTGATTATTTACAGAATCCCCACTAACACTTGCACATGACTCCATTTTTAAAAATACATTTGCACGCATATGACATGAACGGAAATGCCTATGTTGAAAACTCAAAATGAAACCATGTAGTATTGGTCGTTTCTCATTTTATACACAATAAGTAAAAACAGAAATGGGAGCTGGTAACAACAGAACATTCGAAGTGCTCAAATGGAGGCTGAACATATCGTCAGTACACTACGCAATATGAACGGCACTTTGTAATTCATGCATTACGTTTTTAAAGCACTGTGTTTAGTTTGTAAATCCCAATATTGAGATATTGCCCACTATTTTCAAAAATATTAATCAAGAAAAGTCGTATCTTTTCAATAACTTAATGAAGGATAGTAAAACAAACGATATATTTCGATATAAATTATATTTATTAAAAAAATTGTATAATGTTACACGACTCTTTAGAAAAAAAAAACAGTCTTACATTATCTTGATAACACTTAATACAATAATACATAATTTAATTATCCGCTATATTACAACATTTCAGTGTCGCCATACTATAAAGAAAAACTTTTTAAACTAAATATCACTAGATTCCAAAACGATATTCAAACTTTAAATAATAAATCAAGCAATATAATATTCGCAGGTGTAGGTATATAAAAATGTAATCGAATTACGTATACTAATATTTATTTTCAATCCGAGATCCAATTTGAGTATTTCCAATAACAAGTCAATTTTCATCAGTAATTTGTAAAAATACTAATATATAAAATCTGGGATCACGCCAAATTAAAGTCTTTTACCCAAATAAGAATCGAAATAGTTAACAAAATGTAGTTCGGTCATTTGAATAGGCATATGTTCAAGTCTATCTACAGGGTGTGTCAATTTATAAGTAAACACACCATTACAATAAGTAAAAACAAAAGGAATTCAAATATTTTATATCAAATATAATCTAAGATGCACATCATCAACTTATTAGATTTCAAACAAAAAAATGCTAAAATAATTTCTTAAACAAAAATTTTGAAGATATCATAATTCCCAAATATGAGTATTCCTAATCTGTTTATTAAAATATTTGACCTCATTTGTTTCTTACTATGTTAATGACCTATTCAATTGGAACACCCTGTATTGTTCCTAATAAAAAACACTCATGAGAATGACTGAATGCAATTTTCTGACTCTGTTTTAACAAATTACAGTTGAAATTTAAAAAGTTCATTAAGTTATCATTTAAAGTGCATCTATTACGAGTAAGTTTATACAGGGCGTTAAAGTTTGACTGCCTTAATTAGCAGATGATAGAATACGTTAAAATAAACAAAAAAACTGTACATGACATGGGTGCTAAACTCGACCATTTCTGACAAAAAATTATCAAAATCTCCAACATGATGTACAAAAGTTCGATAAATTAAGGAATACTGACATAATTGTGTGCATAGAATACCATAAAATACAATGTTTATCACTTTTTTGAAGTTCTTTATGCTTAATTCTAAAAAATAATTAGCGTTGTAATGAATTTAAAATTCGATAAAATTCATATGGAGCAATGTGACAAAGGCGCAGCGGTTAACATGAGGTACTAATTTGTCCAGCAACCACCAATACGCAATTCAGTTGGTATCTGGATTCGACCGTGTTGGAGTGATTTTTGCATACCACTATTTCCTTTTCCCGAGGCGTTTTCCAGTGAGTGTGTGAAAATTGGATTCAAAGATGTTGTACGTGCATCGAAAATGGTGGACATTTTGAGCATATGTTATATAAAAAAGTTACTGAATTTTGCTTTTTGGCAAGTACCTAAAGAGATTCATAGTTACTAAAATTCAAGCTAAAATTTAAGCACGAGACTATCTTCGTACAACAAAATCGATACATTTTATTTTATTTATTTAAAATCTGGAAAACGATTGTCTTGAAAATTACTAAATGTTTTACAATAGTTGTTTACATTTTTTCCGTAGGACGAGTCTGCCACGTGCACAACGTGGTATGCATCAACTGTGTAGCATTAGGTTAAGCGCTGTTATCACGTTGTGATAAAACTCGCCAATATTAATACTCCCTAAATAAATCTGTTAATCTTACACCCTTGTATCATACAACTTTTTTGTTCATTGATGATTACTCTATCTCATGCGGAAGTAATGACAGTATAACTTTTTACACCCTGTATAGACTTGTCTTGGCTTCATGTCTGTTAACTGTCGATCTTATTTCTTTTGTCAGTCACTGATAACTCAAAATTTAATAACTTACTAGTTATAAAAGCTAGAGATAAGCTAAATATAATCACTGTTACCTTAAAAATAATTCAAGACGTGGATCATCAAAAAAAAGCAACCGAATCGAAGATGGCACATTTTAAAAGTTGATTTTTCTTTTACGAAATGATTATTCACTAATTGAAATATTTGATCACTTTTCCAGTTATTTCAGTTAAAAAAAAATGTATGTACATACATCCATATTTCCGAAAAAAGCTTAAACGCTACTTAAAAACCTTAACTCAAAGATGTCTGCCACAAGACCTCTTGCAAATTTTCTATAGGAACTTCAGTGTCTTCTTCGGGATTAAAAATATCTGGAATAACCGGATGCGAGTGCATGTAGGGCCACTTGACGATGTTGCCATTCATCGTCCAACAGACCGCTTGGCATTTTTCCGGGGTTCTGCTGTTTTTGCAGTACCAGAAGGCCTTTCCTTTGTATACACTTTTTTTGTAAAATACGTATCCGTCTACTATCAGTCTGGGGTTACCTCTTCGTCCCAGGATGCACTGAAGGGTACCTGCATTAAAATAATACACATATATTAGGCTGCAGTACCAAAGAATAAATGTGTCGGGAAAATGTTACACATTTTGTAAAAAGTCACATTACTTTTTGTATTGAGTGGTTACAAAAAAGTAATGTTCTTTAGTGACGAATGCATGATTCTTGGTACCACATACTTAACATTAAATACCAACATGTATACTACTTTATATGGCATCTACGCATGCACTAAATCTATTTACAATAAAGTACGATATAAACAAAAATTGTGTGAAGTAACATCAGTCAGAAAGATAGAAACTCCAATAAAATAACTGTTTTATTTCAAAATATATTTGAAGTGACTAAATACCCACCACTGGAATCTTGGACATGCTAACACATAAATAATTGGTTAAATGAGAGAGGAACTGAAAATTTGAATTCCTTTCTCCATTGAACCGTCTCTGTATTATCTACTGCTGAAAATTCCAATAGTAGGAATTGAACTTCACTCACTTATTGTATACAGGGCGTAATTTTGTCAACGTCAAAGTCATGGATAACTTTTAACATGTGCTGATTAAACGAAAATGAATTTTTTTGCCCTGCATTTTATGTTATACACTTAAATGCCATATAATTTTAAAAATTTCATTAGTTGAGGTATTTAAAGTTAATTTGTGTATTATTTTATTGAAGGTCCCCAAAGGATTGTAAGTCACACAAACTGTCACTACAAACTAATCACTCCTTGTAGCAAACGAACTATTTTCACATTTTGTTTCGAATTGACGCTTTGTAAAGTATTTGTAAAAATATTCATAACTCAGCAATAATTTAAAAACTGAATTGAAGAAATAATCCATGGAAAATAAGCCAGAGTTTCAAAATAGTAGGCAGTGTAAGTCTCATATATCAAACAATATATCACATTTTTACAAGTTCTTAATCTGATAAAATAATTTTGTATATTCTCTGCATGGAAATTGTAATATGCCATTCATATCACTTAGTGTACTGCTGATAATATATGCTATTGCTATAAGAGCCCATCTCTATCTTTGCTTATCATGTACAGAAGGAAAGATTCGTCAGTTTTCAGCTTAGGTGTTTCTTTTCATGTCATATGTATACAAGTGGGAAAAACACCACAAGAGAAGAAATGGACAGTGGGGTATTTGAAAATTTGTTTGCATCTAGTACAAAAAGAACGAATGTGGGACCTCAATGCAAGAATTGAAACATTAATAACAGGAATAAGGATAATAACAATAATTAGTGGTTTTACTAATGTCGTTTCTAGTGTCTTATGAGTGGCGCATCTCATTCTTCAGTAATGTTTTTACTTTTAGTGATTTTATCGATTTTGTCACAATACTACATAAGTCGATTTTTGGCAAGTGCTGGCTAGTTTCCATAATAAAAAGATTAAAGTGTAGATGAGTGGCAGTAGGCCATCTTCGCTAGAAAGGTCGAATTGTTGATATTTGAATATATCAGGTTATCAATTTGTATAAAATGAGACTCATACGGAACTGCAGATGCTACCCGCCCAGATTTTAGGAATGAGTTATTGCCTACGATTTCAGAACTCTAGTATAGGATAAAAATGGTCGTTCTATAATCCTAAAAATATAGAAATGTGAATATTTCTCTTTTAACATCCACAATATTTCTCAAAAAAAAAAGAGTAAAATGGATCTTAATATAATTTTTAAAATGCGTTTATATGAACAACCTGAGCACATAGTTTTTTTCGCATTCCGTAAACACGGCCTACTGAATAATAATATACTGCCCCTCTCCCATATAAGTCACCAGCATCTGGACTAACCCTTGTGTCTAGAATGAAGGGTAGATATATTACTATTTTTATACACAACAACTATCTAGTGTATACAGAAATAAAACAAACAACCTACCTGGTGAAGAGGTATCCTGAGGCAGTGATTTGGGGAAATCAGGTGTAGGCCAATTCGGAAATGGTTGTGAGGGTGATGGTTCGCCCAAAGTGGTGTCTAACATGTGAGAAATATCCATATGGGGCTCCTCGGGTCCTACGGAAAAATAATCAGTAATATGAACATTTATATTTTTAAATATTCATATATTTACCGGAGTGAGACGTATTTTCGTCGTCCCCCGGATCGAGGGGTTCCTGCTTTGGTTTTACAAAGGGTTCCTGAAACTCGGGTTTGTTTTGCGGTGCGGCAGGTGGGGTCGGGGGCATTTCAGATTCTACATGTGGTTTTTTAGCAGGTGGTGTTTGAGGAACGGGCTATAAAAAAATTACATATAGATTAGACACACTAAGCAAGCAGTTTAAATCTGAGTTACCTGAGGTTGTGGAGACTTTACTAATTTCGGGCTTTCAATTGGTCTTAAATGTTGAATCGGTCGAATAATTTTCTTCACAGGCCTTGGCCTTTTCATAATCTGCCTCTGATCTGGGAAACCATAAGGTCGATTACCACTTGTAAATCCATTTGTATCCTATAAACCAACGTATCCCTAAATTTGCATCATATTCAAAACTTTTAACTTTTAACAAATTAAGTATTATCTTTAGAATTCTAGACACTTACTGATGGTGAGGAATTATTATCAGTCAATCCTTTAACTTTTAATGTTTCTGCTACCCTCATAAACGTCGGTATCTCTTCCTGACTAACACTGACTTCTCCTTGATACATAAAGTGTAATAGACTGCACAGTGCCCCATAGTTGACATCTGGCAATATAACAATTGGGTGTTTACACGGGTTAACTCTAAACAGCTCTTTGAAAAAAGGGCTACACACTGACAAGACAGTTTTATGTGCCTTTAGAAACTTCCCTTCCGCAGCTAAAGTAACATCCACCAGATCCTCATCCTTTAAAAGTGAATGGAAGCCTGAACTGAGGTTACTGTGAAAATTATTCCAACACAGAGAAAACTGCTCGCCTTCCATTTTTACCTGGCTCCTAGTAAGTAAAAAAAAGTGATGAAAAATGGAACCGTTTTGTTTCGTTTTACAAATGAATAATAGTCCATAAACTTACCCTACTAAAATAGAACTAAATTTATGCTGTAAAAATACATTTAAAGGGTATTTGGGTACCCTGATTATATCGAATTTTGAGCTTTCTCAAGAAGCCCTAATTTTTTCAGTACCAAACAAGCATGAAAATGGAGGAACGATCGTGGTGTGATTTACATCGAAATTTCGTCACAAGGTTTTGCTAGTTTGCTACATAGAATTTTGATTAGTCATAATTACCAAAATTAACCAAAACATCATGAATCAGACTCGTAAAAACAAATTACTTTACATTGTTTATTATATATTTGGAAATCTCACAAAAAACAATAAAGAAAAATATTATTTTTTAAAATAATTATTTCTTCATACTTGTTTGTCATGTTCGATGTATTTCTATTCTATTTCACTTTGACAATTATGGTACCACTACTCCTGCCTATTTGAGTATTTGATATTTTATTATTTTGAGATTAGTCACAATAAGGGTTTTTTGGCGAGAAAACCGCTAACCCGGTTAACTATAGTTTGTTGAGGTTTGACGTTTTGGCGAGAAATGTAGTTAACCCGGTTTGGCAGAGTTTGCCTAACCATCAAACCGCACTTGTGGGTTGGTTTGGATATTAAGTTAATATTTCTATCTTTGTTTATTTATTTTCTGTTTCGTACCATCGTACCTAGTCACTACTTCGTTTTTTTAGAGGTTTGGATAGGTATAAGTTGTAAATAAAAAAAATTGATAATGGATTAACTTTGCAAAAAATACAAAGTAAATATTTAAAATTGATAATAAAAAAATAGTAATCGAGGATCCAAATAACTTTAATCGTAGATATGCATATTCTATATTGTACTGTATAGATCTTTATTAACTTCCTTTTTGACGATACATTTACGTGGGAATAGATATTTGTGAAAAGGTAAACCCATTTTGATTTAATCACCATCTATACATTAACGTTATTTCATGGATGTGCATTTCAGATTAGGAATAACAATTATAGTATATAAGAAATAATCAAACAACTTGAGCTACGAGCACTATCATAGATTATAGGTTACGATTTTATTATTGATTAGATATCCAAACCAAAAGAATTTTTGCGAGTTCTGTCAAATGTTAACTCAAACTCTTAACACAATCAAACTCGAGCTAACCGGGTTTGATGTGGTTTGGCTCGCCAAAAAACCCTTAATTAGTCATTAGTCAATGGTTAATTGAATTGAAATAAAAATAACAAATAACCTCTTAAATGTATGTAAAGCAACAAACACAATGATAATTATTATTAAATAAACCAATTTTACACAGTAATTAAGATTATATCAAGGATCGAGGAAATATACAAGTAAGTATCCTTAAAAATTACTACAAAAACATTTTTGTTATAACTATTTTAATAAATTTGCGTAGTTAATACATAAAATGGATTCAGAATCTCGCAAAGAGGCAGTACAAAAGATTTTAGTGTCTGTTCCTGACTACATGCAAAAAGTTCAGTGTGATACAGATGAGTGGTATGTATGTTTCCCTAGTACAAATACATTGAATGCACTAAAAATAATTTCAGGACTACTCCTTTTAAATGTGCTGTAAGTTCATGTCGAAATTTCTTTCTGGGTTTCGAAGAGCACAACAAGTGTATATTTAAATTTCACAACTTTCCTGTTGACGAAGACTTGCGTCAAGTCTGGAAAGAACAATGCGGCTTAGCTCAAAATGTAGATATTTCACCTCTGAAAGTTTGTTCCGATCATTTTTCATTAGACAATTACATAAGGAATTACAAAGAAGAGTTTCTTAATCCAGATTTTAAAAGAAAGCTAAAGCCTGATGCCATACCACAAAAAAATCTCCACGCTAATGTAAGTGGCACATATTCTGATACGAGTAATGATGGTTTGCTAAGTTTTAATGACGTTAAAGAAGCTGTTGACGAAAATGAAATGTTAAGAAATAAGTATGATGCATTATTAAAAGGAAAGTGTGAAATGATGAAAAAGATAACCTTGTATGAAAAGAAAATTGCTTTAAAAATTAAGGATTTGGTGAGATTGCAGGATGACTTGGGGAAAGATTGGAGGAAGACTAAACATAATGTCAAAAATAAGAAGAATGTTGTTCGGAAAGTTTTTTCAGATGCACAAATAAATTTATTACTAGGAAAGAAAAGGGTTCTGTGGAGCGACGATGACTTAGCTAAAGCATTCACTTTAAGACATATCGGAAGTAAAGAGTGTTATTTATATTTGAAGAATCAACTGAATATGCCTTTGCCAGCTTTAGCTTGTGTCCAAAAATGGGCAGCTTCTTGTAATGGATCATAAATTTGTACATAAGTGTTATTTGGATTTTATTAATAAATGGTTGCAAATATAAACCATTACTGTTTTTACTTAATTGTTTATCTATGTTGCAAATTTATAGAATTTCTATATATATTTTAAATATTTTGATTATAAAAAGTAATCTGTTAGAGAATGTGATATATTTTTCAATTATAAAAAAGAAGGCAATTGTCATAAATAAAGAAAAATAATGTGACATTCTCAAACAGATTTTTGAAAAATATATATAATTTTGTTAACAGTACCGAAATCTATAATAAATACGTGTGCTACTAATCATCACTCATTTTGAATTCTCGTGTTGCTGCAGACGGGTAGTTTGTATGTGTACACGAAATTATTGGCGACCGTGACAGGACCTGAGAGTGATTAGAGAAATCGTATTATAGAAAGGTCGGTGCAGATTAATCCTTGTATTTTGGAGAAATGTACAAACTTTTACGTCGTGTGAGCTTTTGTATCTGACACTTGACGTTTAGTGGTTTTGACCAGAGATTGTAAAGATATGGCTACAGAAATAGAAAAGAAAAGGAAAAGTCATGAAGTTATGTGGGCATCGTTTATGCGGGTGTTGAAGGAAATTGACTCGATGCTGCAAACTGACAGTCCTGATTTCCGACAAATAGATGTTTCATTTGAAATACTAGAAATGAAGTTTGAGGAATTAAAAGTTGTGGATTCCGAAATATATGAAGCGATCCTGGAGACGACGAGTGAAGAAGGGTTACTGCAAGAAATAGATGCTGCTGACGACTACAAAAGGAAATTCATTCTGCTGCGTTCTCGTTATGATGATTTCGTGGGAAAATCCAAAGGACAGCCCCTCTTAGAAGCAAGGTCGGTTCATGATGGTAATGCTTGTTCAGTAATAAATGAAGTCATCGGTACATGTATGCGTAAGTTTAAGTTGCCTAAAATAGAATTTAAACGGTTTGGTGGAGATATCAAAGACTGGTTATCGTTTTGGGCGCAATTCAAGAAAATCCATGAAGATCCAGACATTGATAACCATGATAAGATTGAATATCTAATACAGGCTACTGTTGAGGGTAGCAGAGCCAGACAACTAGTGGAAAGTTTCCCGGTAATGGGAGAAAATTATGAGAAGATTGTTGAGAGATTTGGTCAGGAAGATTTACAAATTGAAGTTTATGTTCGCGAATTACTAAAGATTGTAATAAATAATGCAATTGCTTCCTATAAAATATCACTTTCTGCTTTGTATGATCGCCTAGAGACACAATTAAGAGCTTTAGAAACATTAGGTATCACTTCTGAAAAATGCTCCGCGATACTTTTTCTGCTTATAGAATCCTGTTTATCCAATGATTTATTAAGGGCTTGGCAAAGATCTCACTTTAGTTCTTTGAAACATTATACTTCTCGCGATTGTGTATCACAGGACGAAGGCGATAGTACTTTAGAAATTCGACTTCAGAGTTTAATGGATTTTTTGAAGAACGAAGTGCAGAATGAGCAACGTATATCCCTGGCTGCTGAAAGATTTGGTTTGTCATCAGTTAGCGGAATTATCGACAGTGACGTGAAAAAGAGGAGACCAATTAAGACAGCTCCTATACCTACTGCTACAGATTTGATGAATTATGAGGCCGCTAAGTGTGTCTTTTGTGAACACATGCAAGTGATTCCTGCTTTAAAGCCCAAAAAATGTGTATTCAAAACAAGAAAGAAATTTTGATGAAGAAGAGTGCTTGTTTCCGATGTTTAAAAATAGGACACCAGGCAAAGAAATGTCGTACTCATTTGCAATGCGTCATTTGTGGAAAATCACATGCCACCTTGATGTGTACTGATTTAGCAGTGAATAAAACCTCCGCTGATAATACACAGAGCACTGTTAATGAAAATTGTGCTAAAGACAATTCCCTGGCTAACTATTCGACTCCACTGGTCTTCCCACAAACTTTACGTGTAACGATAAGTTCTAAATTTGGTTATAAGGAAATTCGTGCTTTAATTGATACTGGTTCAGAATGTTCTTATATTTTAAAGTCGACTGCTTTGGAATTGGGATGTTCACCTAAATCTACAGAAAAAATCAAACATTGCCTTTTTGGTGGTACCGAAAAAGTAAACAGACACCAATGTTTTGAAATTACAATCAGTAAAGGAAAATACTCATGTGCTTTTGAAGTTCTTGACCAAGGCATAATTTGCAAGGAAGTATGTCCTATATCCCAAGGTCCATGGATAGAAGAACTTCGTTGTTTAGGTATTCAAATATCTGATGTAAATAATTCAGGACCTATCGAACTTTTAATTGGAGCGGATGTGGCAGGAAAACTTTATACAGGAGGTAAACAGGCGTTACAATGTGGTCTGGTAGCAATTGAAACAACTGTGGGTTGGACGTTGATGGGAAAAGTCCCTATAGATAAACCTATTTCGACAGTTGCTATGATCAGTTTATCTCTATTGATCAAAGAAGCTTCTATTGCAGATTTATGGGATTTAGACACATTAGGAATAAAAGAAACAGCGGAAATAAAGTCTAAAAGCGATATGGCAAGAGCGGCGAAGGAACTCTTCTACAGACGCTGCAAATTAACGAAGAAAATCGTTATGAAGTGAGACTTCCCTGGTTAGAAGACTACCTCCATCTACCTACAAATTATAATATCGCTAAGAAGAGGTTAAGTTCTACTATACAGAAGTTGAAATGTCAAAAGTTAGTAGAAGCTTATGATGCTGTTTTTCAACAGTGGTTAGAAGAAGATATAATAGAACTGGACAAGGTGAGTGATAAAACACAAGGACATTTCCTTCCACACAGACCTGTTATTAAAGAGAACAGTACTACAAGAATAAGACCTGTGTTTGACGCATCGGCTCGAGAAAAGAATGGACCATCCCTCAATGACTGTTTGGAGAAGGGTATGAATTTAATTGAGGAAATACCTTCCATTCTAATAAGATTTCGAGAGAATCGTATTGGCATTATAAGTGACATTCGTAAAGCATTTTTGCAAATAAATGTAAACAAAAAGGACAGAGAGTATTTGAAATTCTTGTGGCTCGATACAGATGGAAACGAAATTATGTATAGACACAAACACATGGTGTTTGGGGTTAATTGTAGTCCATTCTTACTTGGTGTCACAATTGAATATCATCTGTCAAAGTGTTTAGAAAAATGTCAAAAAAGTGAAACGGTGTATTCAAAAGAGACAGTTAAGAAACTACTATGTAGATAATTGTGTAACTAGCGTCGTAGACAAGAACAGTCAAGAGAAGTTTATTTCAGAAGCAAAATTGGTCATGCTTGAAGTCAAATTTGATCTAAGAGTGTGGGAGTTTACAGACGAGTTAAGCATAGATGAAGATCCTGTATCCGTTTTAGGTCTTATTTGGCATACAGACAAGGATATTTTGAGGATAAATGTAGAGCACTGGTACGACTCGATCAATTCTGACAATATATTAGTGACTAAGAGATCGATTCTTTCATTGGCTCAACGGGTGTTTGATGTAATAGGATTTACTTGTCTTACTTCCTTGATACCGAAGTTATTATTGCAACAAATTTGGAAAAAACAATTACCGTGGGATGAACAGGTAGATTCTGAAACTGAAAATATATTTCGAAAGTGGTTAGAAGACTTGCGTCAAATAGAAATCCCACGCTGGATAGGTCTCGGTTGCAAAGAAGTGGAACTCACAAGCTTGCACACTTTTTGCGATGCAAGTAAGAATACATTTTCTGCGGTTGTTTTCTTAAGAGTTGTTAGTAACGGTAGGGTAATAGTGAACTTATTGAGTGCTAAAGCTAGGGTTGCACCTCTTAGAAATTTTACAGTACCTAGACTTGAACTGTTGGCGGCTGTCATTGGAGCTCGTTTGTATATCAATATCATACAAAATTTAGAGTATGGTGTACCAGATTATGATACCATTGACATATCATCTTTGTGCAGAATGTTGCGAGGTAAACAGAAGTTGAGCGACGATGTAGGAAAAAGATTTCGTACGGAGTATTTAGGGCAATTAAAAATTATTTGCAATAGAAAACCATACCGCCAGGTAAGAATCGGTGACATCGTATTAATTGGCAACGATATAGTTAAACGTGTTGACTGGTCGCTTGGTCGTGTAGTGGAACTTATACATGGCAAAGACAATAAAGTTAGGCTGGTTAAAGTAAATACCAACAGGGGACACTTGTCGAGACCAGTTCAAAGTCTCTATCCTCTGGAATGCATCGACTCGTCATTAGAGGAAACCACGGATCCAGGTACAAGTAGACAAAAACTAGAACTTGGCGTTCCTGAGCTACACCCCCCAAGATGTTATACCGCCTGAACCTGAAGGTTTTAGAAGTAAACCTGAAAATTGTGCGGGAGCGGGAGTGACATTAAAAAGCAGAGTACCCGTTATTACGCGTAGCGGTCGTGTGTCTAAGCCTCCCTTAAAATTATGTTATTAAAGGTCTACCTAATAATTGTAGAATTTTTGTTTCTATAAGTTTGTAATTAGTGAGAAACTTTTTTTAATGTTGTAAAATGTTTCTCAGGTGGGAGAATGTTGCAAATTTATAGAATTTCTATATATATTTTAAATATTTTGATTATAAAAAGTAATCTGTTAGAGAATCGATATAGCCATAATGTGATATATTTTTCAATTATAAAAAAGAAGGCAATTGTCATAAATAAAGTAAAAGAATGTGACATTCTCAAACAGATTTTTGAAAAATATATAATTCACTCTCATTTTGAACTCTCGTGTTGCTGCAGACGGGTAGTTTGTATGTGTACACAAAAATCTATTCAGTTGTTAACATTACCAACATTCTCAAAAATCACATTAAGAGATTAAATTTTAATTGTCAAAAAAATCTGGAAGTTACTGTCAAAACAATTATGAAAAAAAATAAATTTATAAAAGTCCATTTTACGATTTTGAATTAGATAAAAAACAAAAAAGGCCATCAAACCCTTGCCAAATCATACGAATTATTCCTTAAATATATTATTTAAATGTTTATATAATATTAACTTTTGTACCTTTATTCTGAAGGTAATTGAAGTTATTACTAATGTTAGAAAAATAACTTGCAAACATTAATAAATTAAATTTATCCGAGATGCAAATATATTTTACAGTAAAATAGAAATATAAATATCTTGATTTTCTGACCAAGCCAATGTTTTGGTTTTATTTAAAATCTTGAAGGCTATAAATGGTATTAAAAAGATAAGATTATACAGGGTGTTTCTAAAATAGGGTTCCAAACTTCTACTGCGATTATAACTCATTAAAATAAACCAAAAAGTTCCTATTAACATGTGCCCTAAAACGCACCCTTAGGAAGTTATATGCCCTTAAAAGGGTTCAAACAAAACTGTTTTTTTCTGTTAATGACAAAACGGTCGCAAATAAATAGAAAAAAATTTATGGGTCTTACATAACTTTTTACGTTAAATAACATGGGCTACTCCGTTTTTCGACATGCAAATCATATGCGTCCCATTTAGGTTGGTGAAGGGGGTTTTCGGCCCGTAATTTTTTTTATTTCAATTTTTTTACAATTTTCTCTACAGATTTATAAAATCTTAACAATTTTACGTAAAAAATATTATCTTTGTCCAAATCGATATTTCCAATGGTTTTCGAGTAAATTGAGTTTGAAAATTACTCTGCTCTTTAAGTTATTAGGCCAAAAATTATAAAAATCTGTTTACCATGGCAAATAAAAGACTGACGTTGCCACAATGCTAAACAATTTAAGTTATTGATAAACTATCAATTGAGCTTTGCAGTGTTTAATTAGTAAAAGTGGTGAGTGGAAAATTTAAGTATACAACATTATTGCAACAAATGGAGTCATGTTCAAACACGGAAATGGCAGATATGTACTTTATGTACGGCCGTGCGGCTGGAAATGCATCAGAAGCGAGGCGTCTGTATGCGGCAGCATACCCGAATAGAAGACTTCCTTCTCGACAGGTATTTCAGAGGATCCATCAACGTTTAAGAGAAAATGGTTCGTTCCAACCAAGAGTAAATGATCGTGGCAGAGACAGATTTGTAAGAACACCGGTGATGGAAGAAAATGTATTGAGAGCTGTGCAGGACAATCCAAGGGTTAGTGTAAGAAGTGTCGCACGTATGCATAACATAAGTTTTTCCGTAGTTTGGCGAATTCTTTGCGAACAACTACTTCATCCTTTTCATATCCAGCGTGTTCAAGCTTTAAATCCGAATGACTACGAACCACGTCGGCAGTTCTGCCAATGGTTTTTGCGAAAATCGAGGCGGATTCCGAATTTTGCATCTCTTATTTTGTTTACGGATGAGGCAAGCTTCAGTAAAGATGGTTATGTCAATTTTCATAACGCTCATGAATGGGCTGATGAAAACCCACACAGCATATTTCAGTCCAGACATCAGATTCGGTTTTCCGTCAACGTTTGGGCAGGCATTTTAGGCGATCGGCTAATCGGACCGTTTGTGTTGCCTAATCGATTGAATGGTGAGGATTATTACAATTTTTTAGTTAACGACTTGCCAGGACTTTTGGAAGATGTCCCTTTAATTGAACGCCAAAGCATATGGTTTATGCAGGACGGGGCGCCACCTCATTACCTACATAATGTAAGACAACACTTAAATGAGTTGTATGGAGAAAAATGGATAGGCCGAGGAGGTCATGTTCCCTGGCCTCTACGTTCCCCTGACCTTAACCCCCTGGTCTATTTTTTGTGGGGTCAACTTAAGGCAAAGGTTTATAAAATTCCAATTGAGACCATTCAGCAACTACGGGAGGAAATTGAAACCGCGGACATAGAAATAAGGCATAAACACCTAGAATTTTCCAAAGAGTTTGCAAATCATTAAAGCGTCGAGCTAGATTATGCATCGAAATGCAAGGTGGTCACTTCGAGCAGTTCTAGTAATTTAACTTATTATTACTAATTTTAATCCCATTATTTTCTAATTTCATATTTAGCTATTATCTGCAGTAGTAATTAGTTCTTTAATTAGTAAGTGTAACTCTAAATTTAAATAGTCTTAGTTTGTCCTAAATTATTTATTAAATGATCGGTTCCTTCATAACTGCAATTTATTTGAAAAAAACCAGTTTTATTTGAGCCCTTTTAAGGGCATATAACTTCCTAAGGGTGCGTTTTAGGGCACATGTTAATAGGAACTTTTTGGCTTATTTTAATGAGTTAAAAACGCAGCAGAAGTTTGGAACCCTATTTTAGAAACACCCTGTATATGTATTTATACATAATTAAAAAAAACATTAAAACCAATATTTAAAAATGTATTACAATGTTAAATAAATAAATAGTCAACAATAAAAAATAAGGATCAAAAAAATATTTTCTCAAATGATAATCAAACAAAAACGCCCAGTACATTATTTTTTTGTTGTCAACGTTTTTAATTTACTTTTTGTTTTACCACAAATTATCTCCAGACCTAGATATGTATTTTAATATTTATTTTGTAGTTCCATTAAATGAAAAGTAATCCAATATTTTGTTTACATTTGACTGAATTCATTACAAGATAAATTATTTTAATTTTTGACAGTGGTTTTATCTCAGTAGGTAAGATTGCTATCTTCTCTTTTTTAAATTCAAATATTTGTTTTTTTTTAAATTATGTTATAACCCTGAAGATTTTAAATAAAATTGGCTCAGAAAATCAACACTTATTTCCTTGCCCTATTCTGACTATATACCCTTTTTAGACTCGTTGCCATTTATTTGAATTATCAATTTCTATACATCTTTAAAAAGACAAGTAAATGCACTAATTGAATATAAAATTGCATTGAAACCACTTCAAGGATTTGAATGAATTCATGTTATCTCTATTATCAATACCATTTTGTTATGAGAAAAACCTACCCATGAACTTGTACTACCTAATAACTATTTTCCAAATAAACTCGCTTTGAAAAATTCATTTACCTTGATACATTAACCTGTTAATATTTATTAAAAGAAACTGGCCCTTTTAATGTTTCTATTTGAATTATGTTTATTTTCTAGGATGGTAAACATCTTGAATAACGTCTGCGTTAATGGATTCTAATATTTTTTTTCTTGTAGAGTCTACAATGTTATCGTGTGTGGTGTATGGTTGTACTAACAACAGTATCACGAGTGATTCGTCCATAAAATATTATCCTTTTCCAAAAGATTCACTTGCTCAACAATGGGCCGAGGCATGTGGTTGGCAGAGCAACACTTTAGATTTAGACACAGGTAAAAATATCCAAATATATATCCAAAATTATTTATATATAAATTTTAACTATATTTTAGCTCGCGTCTGTTCTATACATTTTGACGAAACAGCTTACAATTCAGAAATAAAAATGGTAGACTTTGTTGCCTGCTATTCCAAAACTCTCAGATCTGATGCCATACCGACATTATATCTGCCTCAGACTCAAATACTTATTAAAGACAACTCCGTTGAATTAGAAAATGGTGTAGTCGTATACACAATAAATTCAAGTAACTCGGACGAAGGGATCACAACAATTTCTTTAGAAGATGGTGCTGGTTGCAAACAAATCTTTGAACTTCAGCCGCCCACAGCCGATGTTAAATTAGAATCACAACCAAATTCTTTAAAGAATGAAATATGCAATCATAATGAAAAATACGACAGTGTTAAAAGCTATCCTGATTTGTACTTGTTACAGGCCCATAATAAGAGCTTAAAAAGGAAAGTGGAGGTGTTAGAACAAGAGTTAGATGCCCTCCAAATAAAGTTGGCTGAAAAAGAAAGTGATTACACCAAGTATGATGTTGCATGTAAAGATCTGGAATCCCAAATAACTAATAAGAACATGTTTTCACAACAGGAGCAGAAAATGGTACTCTCCAAAGTTTTCTCAGAGGCACAAATTAAAATTCTGTTTGGAAAGAAAAAAGTTTATTGGAGTAACGACGATATGGCAGTCGGGTATATTATCAGGCATTTAAGTAATAAACGTTGTTACAGTTACCTGACGAAGACTTTAAAAATACCTTTGCCGGGTGTTTCTAGTATTAAAAGGTGGGTGACTGCTAAAAAGACGAAAAAGATAAGGAGTTAACAGGAACCAAAGGGAAGATAAATATTTACAATTGAAAACTGAAAAAGTGTAAATTAACATTTATTTAGAAAAATATATTCCAAGCATCAACCTTAGCTGTACTTTTGTAAAATATATATTCATTACTTTAAAACAACTCAAAATACAGGTCCTTCTAAGTATATTGCATAAAAAAACAAAGTGGAATAACACAAAACCACAAAAATACATGAACTAAATTTCTTCGATTGTACAAATAACAAATTTGTAATCTATTTGAATTAGCACATAAAGTGATATGTTAATATGCAACATATTCAACACAATTTTTGCTGAAAGTGTACAAATCACTCAAATTTATTGAAATTATTCATATTGGTCGTTTTTTTTAAATTTACATATCAACAAAATCAAAATACTGATCAGAAAACTATCTGTTCCGTTAAAGAGATTGAAAAATAAGACAAACATTAAATAAATACTAAAGAAAGAATATATACTAGGTTTAACAAAAATATAATTAAAAGTATAGAACAAAACATATAATTTTGTGGCACATATTTTGAAGGTAAAAATTATGAGAATATGGAGTTTATTTGACGTAAAGTCAAAGTAATAATTGTGACAAGTGAAATTTTCAACTTCCAAATTTTCATATTTTTCAAACATTTTGAAATATATACGCCGACAGATTTTCAGCATAAAAAACGAAACTGCTTATGAACTAAAGGTTAAAAATAATATCACGAATCTCATTGTTAAACTTAAATCTATGTTAAGTAGAAGTATTACATTTTATTTCATATTAAAGTAATTATGAAAATAATCAGTCATTTAAAATTATTTTTATATCTTGCCTTAATAGATAAAATTTTTAAATATAACAATTTTTGGTAACATAATGACAAGAATGGTTTATTCAATTTTTTAACAATTTTCTTCCTTAAAACTGTAGAAGGCACATGGGTGAACAAATATCAACAATATTTTTTGCTAGTCACAGCAAAATATCACAAATTGTTCTTCAACGAACAAAAATGTAAAAATACCAATATGGTAAATCATATTAGATCAAGATTTTAAAAAATTAGCGCAAGCTGACGTAATCTACAAAATATCGAGGATAATACTCACAGTCGAAATATTTAACATAAGTAGCATTATTGTGTGCCAAAACAGTATCAAAACCGAAATCGGGTAGAAAAATGTCTCCCTGTACGATTTGAATGTTCTGTACCAAAACATCTGCCACAAACATCGACCTGTATAAACTATTGCCTCGGCAGGAATGTTTATTCGCCAAGGAAGGAGAAACAGAGAAGTAAACCCCAGGACCGTACATATACCTTCCCCCATAGCGCCAGTCAAAGTTAAACTCGACTATGGATTCTACATTTTCACTAGGGGTATCATGGAATAGCCTCAAAATGTTATATGGACCTCGTAGCTCATATTCATAAGCCTTTAATGCATACTTTGAGTAAATGTATGGGTTTTGTACCTTGTAGATCCCATCGATATAGGAAAGATAATTCCCAATAATTTTAGATTCAATACTGTAATATTCTTCGCTAAATGGAGGTACCTTTACAATTTTAAAACGCTCGGCGTTGGCGTCCATCGGATACCAATCCTTCGGTATTGTTTTATATAGTTCTTCCAGCAGCATTTTTCTGAAAATTATAAAATCTATAACATCAACTCCAATTACAGGTATTTTACAAATGTGTTTACAGAAAATGCATAAAGCTCACGGAAACTATGAAAACATACATACCCTTAACCCTCAACGTTGCTCGATTAAAAAAAAAATCAGGTAAATATAGAGAAAATAACGGTTTCTGTGTTTATCTATGATATACTAAGCTACTTTAGGAACAGCAAGTTCTTATAATGAAAATATATAAATACTTCCACTTTTCGGGAATATTTCTGCTCCCCTCTATTTTTCAGTTAAAAAATAACCACAAAATAACAAAAATACAACCACAAAATCACAAATCACCAAGTTGAAACCGAGCGGTTTTCGGCTGCAGCGATTGGAGCACTTCAGAGCGTTCTAATTCTAAAGGTGCTTTCGGGTGCCAGTGTAGTGCTCTGGAGCGCCCCGGAGTGCTCTAATCAATACACCCGAAAGCAGCTCAGAAATTGATATAAAGGTTTTGTTGTCGAGTAGTCCAATCCACGGTAGTGTGGGGGTGGTTTACACGAACCAGGAAAAGGCTGAGGCTTTCGCCGATAGCCTGGAACTGCAGTGTAGACTGCCTCAGCTGCCCGACGAAGACGAGGAATTCGAGATAGTGGCTGAGCGCGCGGCCCGACGCGTCGACAGAGAGCCAGACAATGACATAATCCCCCCCGCAACACCTGACGAACTAACACTTACAATACGCAGACTTAAAAACAGAAAAGCCCCCGGACCCGACAATATACATAACACGACACTTAAACGACTACCACACAAGGAGATGAGGCAGGATAAAGAGGGATAATCCCCCTCGATCCCAAATCATTGAGGCCAATTTCTAGCCATAGAATAATGGCGTGTCGAGTAGTGATGGGAGAATTCGAATGCAAGAATCGATGTGCATTCGCTGTTCTAGAGAACTTTTTGCGGGCATTCGAATACTTGCGAATTCATGACGAGGTTTCGAGAGACGACCACATACATATACATTTTTTATCATTAAAAGAATTGTTTTTTTTTTGTTTCCACATTTTACTATGTATTTTGAATGTAAGACGAACATAAATATTGTTTATATATTTTTTTAATTTCCGCATCTACACTCTACGTCTTGAGTATATATTGATTTATATTTTGTATAATTTTTACCAAATGTTATTGCTTTTGTTTACATACATTGGCTTTTCTATTACCATCAGAAAAATCAATTAGTAAACATTTTGTATGGCAATAAGTCTAGAATTTCTGTAAATGAATCTAAATAAAAATCTAACTATTATGTCTTTTAATTTGCATTTAATATTACACTTTTCCTAAAAAAAATGCAGCGGTGTTATCAGCCAGGGGTTGATTGTTGTGAAATCATTGTCAAACTGCAACTACTGATCCTTCTGATCTATTCATCTGCATTGCCCTCTCATTTTTTCTTCATCGACCTTTTAATTCCTGATACCGCACAATTGTAGTTTTACCTAAGTAAGTACCTACATTAACATTTTTAGGTGAAGATAATCATTAAGGAATATTGCCACGGTAAAAAAATATACCTTGTGTATTCTTTCTAACCTAAAAAAAATATTTTGGTGTTGATTGAAATATTCGCTCTATATTTCAGTCGCGCCATTATTCTATGGCTAGAAATTGGCNGCGCCAGAAGAAAGGGCCCAGCCGGCGGGGCCCAGCCAGGACAGAAGGAGGTCCCACAAAAGCGCCTACACCGGCCGCATTTGCGGTCGGGGTAGACGACGGATGGGGCCCACCTACGAAGGCTGTCCAGGCCTACACGAGATGAGGCAGGATAAAGAGGGATAATCCACCTCGATCCCAAATCATCGAGGCCAATTTCTGGCCATGAAATAATGGCGGTGGTACCTTGAATTACGAAACAATACACAGAGATAGAAGATAGATCGACGTTCAGTGTAACTCAGTACCTATAGACAATTATAGATCATATCAATGTGCATAGAGCGGCACATCATTTAATAAAAGACAAATAATATTGAACCGTTACAAAAATCATTTTATACGCCTTATAATAATAGTGTTTTTATATCATGTCTGAGTAATTCTCCTTTCGACCACGAAGTGCTTAAAACTGAAATTCGAAAATATTTTTTTTCAGACAGAGCAATGTAGTTTTGCAGTAGCAATACAGAATATTAATTTTAACATATTTATTTACATAAAAATTTCACATATTTAAACAAAATAATGTAGGCATGTGAATGTATTATTTTTCCATAATTGTACATTTTCAGTTTCATCCATTTGAAATGGACAGATATAGAAATGGACCATTTCTTTATCTACACTGTAACCAAAAATTATGTGGATTTCACTCTTTTTATGTATTTAATAAACAAGGATTTTAGGGTTTAAAAACGTTTTTGAGGTAACTTCCATCTTTACTTTTGAGAGCAATATAGTTTTGCAATAGCAATACCTACAGAATATTAATTTTAACATATTTGTTTACATAAAAATTTCACAATTTGAAAAAAATAATGTAGGCATGCGAGTGTATTATATTTGTACATTTTCAGTTTCATCCATTTGAAATGGACAGATATAAAAGTGAACCATTTCTTTATCTTCACTGTAACCAAATTATGTGGATTTCACTCTTTTTATGTATTTAATAAACATGGAAAAAACGTTTTTGAGGTAACTTCCATCTTTACTTTTGAGCGCACATTTACACATTTAAATTTGAAATCAAAAGTGGATTATTAACATAACCTTAATATCCTCTCGATTTTTTTTTTTCCCAACTACTAAATACCTACTATATTATAAAAAAACATTTACATTTAAATTAATTATTCTTTAAAATTAAAATTCATTTATTTAATGCAGCATATAGAAATTGCACATACATTTTTAACAATTTTATACACAAGACAACGAATTTACTACTTATATTTTTGTATTCACAATAAGTGAAAATACTGCAATCGCAAATTTTACAAAATTTCACAGTAGTTGTTCATTAGGTAGTTATGGGCAATGAAAGTCTGAAAGAATCCTTATTTTATATTTAACCAATTCCAGTAAAAATTATTGCGCAAACCACGTACTGGTTTATCAATTTTTTTATTTAATAAAACTTATTCTAAACAATATCAAAAACAAGTCTTTAAAAAATGCTATGTTTATTTAATTGAAAGTAAATGTCAACAAGTATCTAGAATCACCTAATTCTGACAGAATGAACAAAAAGAAAACAAAACAAAAAAATAAACAAAAACTATCACTCCTTTACACAAATATTGCTGTAAAAATTTAAGAGAAGAAGGTGGTTCTAAGAGATGGTAAAAAAAGATTAAAAAAAAATTTACAATAAGGTTAAAATTAAATTAATTTATTGAACGTAAGTGTAGCTTTTGCATTAAATTTAGACAACAAAAGTACAAAGTTGTAAAATACACTACACCGACATTCTGCAAGTCGATGCGGCGTAACATTAGGTAAGCTGTTGATAACTGATGGTCCAATAGGATAATATATTCATATAATATAAACAGCGGGGACCTGTTGGACTTGGTGACACATGAACTTGGACCCCACCACTTTACCCGGCCATTATTTATCCAAGGCAGTATTTGTCTTTACTGCAATCACCACCTAAAAAGAATACAGAGCTTATATATTTCTATTATCAACAAAATTTAAATATTTACAAAGAAACATTTTAATCCAGTTTATCAAAAATGATAAGGAGGAATTTTATTTCCTTCCAAAGTTCAAACTGAGGATGATTAAACCTTTTTATGGTCTAGCTAAAAAAAAATTTCAATGTGCACATTAAAATAAAAAAAATTGGATAGTGAAATATATAACGATGGGTTGATTCGTTTAAGAGGTAACATGGCACTTTTTACCAGCAATTATTTTCTAGACGTGCAAAATATATTTATAAATGATTGTATATGTCTTGAGTGGTATTAAAAAATATATTTATTAAATTACATGCAATATTTGAAAATTGCCAATTTATAATGTCCCAAATTTGAAGTACTGCAATTTTGGACCAAAACAGCAATTTGACTAATATCACTGTTTTTGATGTTTCTAAACATTGCATTACATACTAGCTATATTTAGCACTATTTAACGAAAAATGTTTGAAATTGTTGTCAAATCACCACCACCAGTGACATACAAACTACTGTTTTATTGTATAATTCCCTGGTTAGATCGTCACTGGAATATTGCTGTATAATTTAGAGTCCCTACTATGAAGTACATGTTAATCGTATAGAGAGAATACAGCGAAAAATTGGAATTGTGTTGTTTAAACTTAATATAAATAAAAATGAGAACTTGCAATTACATTAAATTTGCTCGCAAATTATTTAATGGGAAAATAGATTGTAGTGAACGATTATCTTTATTTTCTTTACGTGTCCCAAATTATGGAGCAAGACTAACTACTATTTTACATGTCAATTACCATCAAACTAATTATGGTTTTTATAATCCCATAAATAACATTGTTAGCTGTGTGAATAGTCTTCCTTATGACTTTGATATTTTTACAGCTTTTTGGGTTCAGTTATTGCACTTAATTTGTAATAGATTTGGCTAATTTTATTGTTATGTATGTTTATTTGTAATGTTACTTATACAGGGTGATTCACAACTTATCCAGAAAAATTTGGGAATAGATGCGGCATGAGAAATGGAGTCAATATCACAAAAAATTTTTTGTAAAATTCTTAGTTTCCAAGAAAAAAAATTATTGAAGTTGTAGTACTTTCAACTATTACATAGCTGGACAACTGTAGTCTCTAGCGTCATTCTTAATAAGTGTGGAAAGTCACGTGGCCTCAGCTTCTCCGAATACTGAAATCCGATTATACAGTCATATATGCCACAGTTTTACAATAGTTTTTTAGTAGTATCAAAAATGGTCTGAGTGTATAGCAACTCGGAGTTGATGGATATTGTTTTAATTTATGGTGAAGCAAGAAAACATTTGTATTATGGTGAAACAAGACAGCATTTGCGTTAGTTCGTAGAAACTGAGTAAGACGGACCCAAATTTGTTCACACGTCGGTGGACAAAATTTTGAACAGTTGTAGCACCAGGTATGTCAAATTATTTTATTATTTAAAACCACAAATTAATTTTATTAATTAACAATAACAATAGCGGCAAAATCAGTTGAATTTGCTGACATAAAATAGCTGCTATAAAATTCTATTTATTATTTGTTTTTGTCCGTTTTTATCACTGTCGGCGTGACAGTCGCATTGTGCCAGGTCAGGTTTTACAGTGGACCAGTTTCCAATGCCGTGCAGAAGTATATTTTTAAATCATTTTCGAACTGCCTTTTTTGATTTTTTTTTTTTTTTTTGGAAAAGTTCTGAATCACCCTTTATATGTTTAGTTTGTTTTGTATCTTTGCTTTGTCAGTTTTTTTTTTATTTTTTTTGTCCAAGTAATTTGTATGTAAATTATGGATTCGCCTGTAGATACAATATTGTTTAATAAATAAATAAATAAATAAATAAATAAATAAATAAATTTTAAAATTACTTTCCAATTTTCAATTTACCTCAATCCTTAACTACTAATCTATCCCTGAAATTGGCCCACCCTGTCATGGTTTATATTCTTACAAATATTTTCTTATATATCTATACTAAAACCGCTGTATCTTTTCCATTGCATCACAAGCAATATTCGTATGAACTAAGACGAAAAATCCTAGTCAAATTAGTCACTGTTTGCATATAAATGAAATGTCATCTTGACAATTCCCAAATCTGGATATCTCGCAAATTTTAATACTGGTGTTACTGGATACGAAAATATGCAAAAAAATGGATATTTCAATGCTCAGAAAATATATCCAACTGTTAGGTACCGAGATGCGATCAAAACAACTGTTAAAATTTTAATCTGACTGTCAACTCTGTTTTAAATGCGCTAATCAAACTATAGTCAAAAACTAATACCCAACAAACGTCCTCCATTTTCTTTCACTCTAATACACATAAAATATTGGAACGATTGTCTGTGATAGACTGAGACTATGAAGACATTTATGCCATCATTGTATCTCTTTTTGGCGTATAACAAGAAATTAATTCACGCGCGCAACGACTGTCTTTGATATTAGGACACACTCGGGACGTAATGGCAATCTTAAAACGGTTCTACTATATGAAGATTGCATCTAATTTAAAAAAACTCTAAAACATAATATAACCTAATTGGCTAACTACTGTTGAATGTTAGCATATTGTTAAAAACAAAATATTTTGTATTTTTTTTCATGTTTTGGATTTATTTTTATAAAACTTAAATTAAGGTTTTTTATAAGAAATCAATCATTTTGATTCAACTAAGACAACATTAAATATTCTTACATGACAGGAAAATATTGAAAATTTTCGACTTTTTTTCTTTCATTTGAAACAATAAAAAGTTATTCGGTCAAATTAGTGGTTTTAAGTTGGCAGATAAAAAGTTTTATAACTCATTCTGACAAGTAGTGCTTTTTATTAGTTAGAGGACATTTATTATTTCTTAAAACAAATAATGGACTTATAAGCGAAGTATTAACCACATTAGAATGAAATTTTACTAAATATTCTAGTTTTAGGGATATGATGTTAAGTAATAAGTTTTTCTTATAATCTAATGCATAGAAGTGTTTGTAACTTACACAGTGATGTAAAAGAGTGTAATATTAAGTTTTACGAACTTGGACAAATATAAAAAATATTTAACTATACAGTTACTAAAACATGTTACAAATTTATAGGGTAGTAAGCAGAGAATTAAAAATTGGCCAAATAAAAAAAAAACTCATATTCTGAAACTCAACAGTTTTAGTACAGTAGATCTACCTGAATGTTAAAATTTAAACTGTTATCAGTAATAATGCGAAGAACGTTCTCGTCATTAGTTTGTTTTTTGTTGGTAGTTAACTGTGGCCCCTTCGAGCAGTTAAAAGTCTACATCAGCTAAAAGTTCGGTGATAGATTGATTGAGCAAGAAGGGCAAGTAGCATGGCCGCCACTTTCTATGGATTTAACTTCACTAGATAATTTTGTTGGTCTAGTCTGGTTTATGATATGCCTGTCGAGTATGAAAATCTGTTGGCTGTAGCACAAGAAATCTTAACAATACCTGGCATTTTAGAAATAATGCACCAAAATATGAATCAAAGTTGGTCGTCACATTCAGCAACTATTGCAGTATTTCGCATTGATATTTTCTTGTTAAAAGTTGGTCAATTTGTAATCTTCTATACCGTGCTTTTACCGTACAACGCTACATAGGGAATTAGCTTCATTCGAATTCGTAAGTTCGGAAGGGTGGGGAGCGCTGGGTGCTCAACCTGACTGATGTGAGATGTGATTCCGTATGCCACAGCGCCGCACGGCCGCGCACACAGAGGTCGACATCACCACTGCTGAAGCCGCACGAGTTTGACCGACGCACCTCCTATGTAGTGTTTTTCCGTGAAAGCACGGTATACCCTATAAATTTATTACACATATTAATTAGCACCCTATATATAAATATATTTAAAATAATAGTCTTATCCACCCTAAAAGTCTGAAATTATACAAAATAGAACTGCAATTTGATCTACATCAATATTTTTACTATTGTCTAATATTAAGAAGTCGATGAACTCCATTCAATATGTTTAAATAAAATAACTAGTACTACTAACACTTGTGTAACTTTGAAATGATTTTCTTGCTTATAGACATTTAGGTCAAAGTACAAATCTCACAATTTATATACATTTCAAAAATCAAATTGATGAATATACAAAATATACACTGGACTATCAAAAGAAATATAAATAGAATATATAAATGTAAAAAGGTTAAAAAAAATAAATGAAATGTAAAATACTTACAACTCTTCTTTTCAAGATGGTAACTTTGATTTTCTTTAATTAATAAGTCTTATCACTTTTTTATTTTTGGAATATTTGACAATAATTTAGCAGTGACATAGAGTTTAAGTAAAATATTTATTTTCATCTTCCTCAACTTAAAAAAGCAAAATTAATTAAAAAATTCCCTTAAAATCCTATCCAATAAAGTTAATGTTGTTTGATATCAAAAATCTAGAAATTTTAAAGATGTTAATTTAATAATTTTAATATATCCGGTATGTTTTTGAATTAGAAATATTTAGACATAAAAAATGAGTGGCATTTTATCACTGAATATTATTCTACAATGAAAGTTAATCCAAACCGTATACACAGTTTTGTTAGAAACAAAATTTATAAATTTTTATTTGATTTTAATAATAAACCATACACCATTGTTATCAACTTGTACAATACTAGACCTGGGGTCGGCAAGTAATTTTAGGTGGGGTCCGGATACTTTTGAAAATTTTTAATGAGGTCCAAAAAAAATTCATATTTCTTACTAATTTTTTATTTTAATTTGGACACAAATTTAATCTGCTTACTAGCCATTAAGGATTCAAATCAGTTACACAATTGTAAAGTACTACAAAAAATGATAAGGGTGGCACTCAAACGTAAAAAAAATATTTTTTAAATAATTTATTTGAGTAATTTATACTTTCAAAAAATTTTTGGCGGACCAGTATTTTACCTTCCGCGGTCCGCCAGTTGCCGACCGCTGTACTAGACTATAGCACAGTTAAGGCTGGTTTTGCACATCACAGCTATCCCCCAAACTCGTTAAATTATAAATTTGTTTTAATTCCTAGTTACATAATGATTTCATATAAATATAAAACAATACAGGCAAACCCCCTATTATTAATAATTATAAGCTGTACCTAAAATTTATATATTTTAAGTTAAAAAAGTAAATTTATTATTTTATAATTTTGGTCAGAAAATTTAAAGTAACTTACCTACTTTTAGCAAATTATTAAATTTCATAAAAATTATAATTCAAGAGATTCAAGAATTTGTAACTGTTTATGTCAATTAATAAATAATTATCTTATTTTTCATGCAAAATTACTGATATAAACATGTTACACCAAGAAAAATGGAAATTATTATTATTTTAAAAAACATACATGGACTTCACTTGATATCCAGAACACTGATTTTCAATTTACAGAACCTGCATCAATATTTTGTATACCGTTATATTTAAAGTGCGCCAAGTCATCAACCTTTCCCCTATTAAGCTTGGTATTAAAAAAGAGTTCTAATCTATTTATAAGTGAAATAAAATAAGATAAAAAAAGTCTAAACCGCTATTTGGACTTCAAAAATATATTTTAAGGTCATAAAGCACTACTTTTTTATACTTTTCTTAAGGCGCCAGAAAAAAAAGTTTAAAAAAACTTCACTATTTGAGAATACACACTAAAAATCAATACTTACTTCTTCGCCACACGATTTGAGTACAGTACAGAGTATGTCTTTACCGGCATCATAGTCGGCCCTTAATTGAGCACCAACTTCACCTTCTGGCACTTTTAAATCCTCACGCAAATCACCATTATCAGACATAAGAGACAAATATCCATCATCAGAAATGTCAGTCAATTGATAGTCCTCACGTTTTACATGGGGGACATCCATATTATGTGTAGAGGGACAAATATCTTCATATTTTTTACCTAAAAAATAAACAACTAAAATGCAATTTCAACAAAATGATTTCTTAAAATAATTATTATAAAGAACAACTTTCTTCTTTCGATGCTAGTTCATGTTTGATATAAAAAGGTAGTACAATAGAAGGTTCTGCATTCTTATTTAGGTTAAAATTCAGAAAATTATTCAGTTACTGCTTATTAATTGACTATTGTAAAAAAAAATTTTCATGTTTATTATGTTTAAATCAATATTTTGTTTCAATTAACATTTTTATATTACAAGATTACCTGTGAAAATATCGATCCCTACTAAGTGAACTTTAGCATGACCGTGTTTGCCAGTTTTGGATGTGGACATTTCGACAATCTTGCAGGGTCTAGATTTTAACATAACAAATCCATTTTTACGTAGGGCAGAACATTGCATAGGATAAGTTGCTGAGGCTCCAGAGTCTCCAGTTTCAAAATGGGTATCATCAATATCGCCCATTGTTGTTTATTTAGAGAGATTGAACCTTGCAAGCTAGAAATAAATAAAATATACAAAATTAGGTTTTTTTTGCAATAAAAAATTTAATAAAAAGGGGCTGCGAGTAGTGTCCACGCGGCATAGGAACATGTGGTTTATAGCACACTGGACTATGATTGTATGTAAAAAATTTGATATTTTTGAGAGGGGTCATTACTTAGATACAACATCAAAATGTTCAAAAATACCTTCAAAGTTATTGAAATAAACGTACTGTACGAGATTCTTCGATTATTGTTAAAAATCTAATGCAACATGGCGCGAACATAAAGCCAAATCATGCACTGTCAAACAACCTAAAAAGTTTTTTTCGGTGACATATAACAAAGTGTGCACTTGATCAAGGATCTATTTTAATCTAACACATATACGAAAATAAAGCCAAACAAACACCGACAATTTGCCATTACTGTACAATTATTATTTTAAGAAAAATAGAATACTCACATGTGATCAAGATGGAAACTAATCCAAAAGAGGCAAATTGAGCATGCGCCCTTAAAATAAACGGTATAGTCTTCGAGGAAATCAACACTAGTGACATCTGAGCGGGAAATTTAAAATTCTATCACAAATGTACTTCAACAAAATGTTACTATTTTTAGTTTTGTCAGTCGTCAACAATAAAACATGTCATATATATTTCCAATAATTTATTTTTATAGTATGTTGAGTATAAACCGTTAATAAACCAAAATATTGGTACAAGTTAGAATTAAAGTATATATTTCTGATATTTCAGCTTTGGTTATATAAAGGCAAATTTACACGACTCGAGTCACGTTGGATAATCATGATCATGGTGGATGAATCATTTGACGCGAAAGGAAATTGAAAAGTGAACAAACAGTAAATCATAGAAAGCGATCATCTGCACGGGCCGTTATTGATCGTGTTGTTTCTGATTAAATGATTTGGAACCTCTTTGTCCTGCCACATCGCTGTAGACCTGGACAGCTTCGTAAAGGCGTGGATCGTGGATCCCATCTATCGTCGACCCTGTGCTTTGTGGAACCAGAGACAACCTCTGGTGGAACTTCCTCTTGTCCTGCCGACAGGGGGCTACTTCTAGCGCTCTTCTTGCGGTCCGGCTGTGTGAGATTCGCGTTGATGTATCCGTTTGCCATTATTCCATGGCTAGAAATTGGCCTCAATGATTTCGGATTGAGGGGGATTATCCCTCTTTATCCTGCCTCATCTCGTGTAGGCCTGGACAGCCTTCGTAGGTGGGCCCCATCCGTCGTCTACCCCGACCGCAAATGCGGCCGGTGTAGGCGCTTTGTGGGACCTCCTTTTGTCCTGGCTGGGCCCCGCCGGCTAGGGCCCTTTCTTCTGGCGCTCTTCTTGCTTCGCCGGCTCGTCTGTGTAAACCCCGGGGGTAGTGTCATGTTTATGTGTGGTATGGTTGGGTAGGGTAGTGCGGCTATGCAGCCTGGGATGCGCTTTGCTAAGGTGGCCCTTAGGCTAGCGCGGGAGGGGAGGGTTAAGGAGGGTATGGGGGGTGTGTATGTGTGTGTGTGTGTGTGTCGTTGTCTTCGTTTCTTGATCCTGGCTGTCTCTGAAACAGAAAAGGTTAGCGGGCAGGGGGGGGTCATTGGGGTGGTCACCCAGGGTCAAAAAGTTGGTGTCTAGGTCTTTTGTGTTTGTCGGTCACGTCGGGTACGTAGTCAACGGCTTGCCTGAGGAGGGGATTGTCATGTCTAGCGGCTACGTCAAATCGTTTCTCCGCGTTTTGTCTTATTGTCTGTGTAGCGTTTGTGTATTGTAAGTCTCGTAATATGTCAGTGTTTCTTACGTACCTGGGCGCGTCGGTGGCCGTGCGGAGGGCTATGTTTTCCACAGCCTGTAATGACTTTAAGTGGCTTTTTGCCGCGTGACCCCACGCCGTGGAGGCGTAGGTTAGCTGCGGTTGAAGTACCACCTTGATAAGCGTTCGCTTATTCCTTAAACTGAGGGTGTTTCCACCTTTGAGTAAAGGATAGAGCCTAGCCCTGGTGGTCTTCGCTCGCGCCACCGTCTCCACGATGTGCGGTTTCCACGTGAGACGCTGGTCCATCGTCACGCCCAGTTATCGTGTTTGTCGATCCCAGGAGATGGGCTCCTGGGATAGTGTCAGTTTGTCGAGGTTTTGTGGGATTTTTCGTTTAGTAAAAAGTATAGCCGAACTTTTGTTGAGATTAATTTTGACTTTCCACCTGTTGCACCAGGTTTCAAGTTGGTCTAGGGAGTTTTGGAGGAGGGAGGCGGAATATATAGGATTAATTGATTGGGAAGTGATTGTCAGGTCGTCGGCGTATAAGTATATGTTGGTGTTGGGGGGTTGTGGGATGTCGGAGTTGTAAATGGTGTATAGGTGTGGGGAGAGGACGGTGCCCTGGGGGACACCGGCCTCCATGGGACGGGTGGTGGAAAGGGAGTCTTGGATTTGTATGCGGAATTTTCGGTGGTGTAGGTAGGATTTTATGAGTTTGGTAAAGGATATGGGATATTGGTTGGTGAGCATTTTCATCAGTAGTCCTTCATGCCAAACCGTATCGAAGGCCTTTGCGACGTCCAGGAAGACAGCACCAGTGTACTGTCCCCTGTTGAAGGCCGCCGTGATGTGCTCGGTAAGGCGAAGGATTTGGAGTTCGGTGGAGTGATTTGGTCGGAAGGGGAACTGCTCGTCTGGAATGACTCGCAGTTCTTGGGAGTGGGTTTTTAGGTGGGTTAGGTTGATTTTTTCTACCACTTTGCTCATAGCCGGGAGCAGGCTAATGGGCCGGTAGTTGGATGAGAAGGTGTGGTCTTTGTTGGGTTTTGGGGTAAGGATTATGTTTGCTGTTTTCCAGCGGGTAGGCAAGTGTCTTAGTCTGAGTGTCGCGTTTTTTATGTTTAGTAGGGCCATGAGGCCCTTGTGTGGTAGTCGTTTAAGTGTCGTGTTATGTATATTGTCGGGTCCGGGGGCTTTTCTGTTTTTAAGTCTGCGTATTGTCAGTCTTAGTTCGTCAGGTGTTGCGGGGGGGATTATGTCATTGTCTGGCTCTCTGTCGACGCGTCGGGCCGCGCGCTCAGCCACTATCTCGAATTCCTCGTCTTCGTCGGGCAGCTGAGGCAGTCTACACTGCAGTTCCAGGCTGTCGACAAAAGCCTAGGCCTTTTCCTGGTTCGTGTAAACCACCCCTCTTCTGCCGTGGATTGGGGGAATTTTAGCTCGAGCTGTTTGTTGCAGAGCCCTCTGCGTTTTCCAGAGGTTGTTGCCTTATGGATCCAGCGACTCCAGGTACCTAGTCTAGTTGTCCTGGCCCAGCTCACCCANTTAATGTGGACTCAAATTTAATCGGCTTACTAACCATTAAGAACTCACAAACTCACACAACTGTAAAATACTAGAAAAAATTATAAGATTGGCACTTAAAAAAAAACATTTTTTAAATAATTTATTTGAGTAATTTATACTTTCAAAAAATTTCTGGTGGTCCAGTGTTTTACCTTCCGCGGTCCGGACCTGGACCGCGGTCCGCCAGTTGCCGACCCTTGCTCTAAGCTCTACACAGGGCGAAGCTATTAAAACGGCGGAATTTAAACGTCATTATACACCTTATTTTTTTTATTTAAATATACTAATTAGAAAAATGTGTTTCCTGTTGTCTAGCCTTCCTTGCCTTCTAGCTTTTAAATACTTTGAAAACATCAAATTTCATTTCAAGGAATTTATTGTAAAAATTCTATTCTAATCATAACGATCAGCGAAAGTACACTTTCAAATAAACGTCAGTTATTTAGTTGAATATTGATTTAATGCAAATGATATTTGAATGTTTCATATTACCTTCATGGAAAAAATAAAGTATTTTTTTCTAGTTGTGTCGTTTCACAGAACATCCCTTATCATGCTCATGCATGCCTATCAACGATCAACGCTTCACCATAGTACCAACAGAGCTCTTAGTAGTTATAGTTTTAATTATAAGTATTATATGTTTTGTGGTTTTAATAATAAATTATTATTATTAATTCCATAAAAGAAGTCCATATCACTAAGATCTGGTGATCTAGTGGTTACCTCTTTTTTATATATTAATGCTGACAAAAATGGGCGTAGCCAGGAATTTATCCTAGGGGGTGAGGGTCGAGAGCCAGTTTATTGAACAAAGAGTGTGGTTTCAGAAATACCAAGCATATATGGTTAAACCTTCCTACCCAACGAACAAAAGGGAACAGTGGCCGAAAGTAATTCAATCTGACTGTTTTACACTCAACGCCTCAATTATCTAAACAAATAAATAATATATTTATATTAATTGAAATTATACGTAACAAATGGCCGGTAATAATAATGCAACTTTTGAAACTTGCAGCATGTAGCAAGAATTAGATGCTGGCAGCCCCCGACAGCAGAGAATTAAAAAAAATACATAAAAATATGTTTTTGGTCGCAAATTACTTGTCGTAAAGAAACTGAAATGAGCATAGCTTTTAGTATTTTGAAAATAAAAAATCACCCCTACTGAGGGGTTGAAAAAATGCAAAAAATGAATTTGGATATTACCAATTGATATAAAACTATTAGTATGTGAATTATCGTTATATATTTTTTGGAATTTTTACAACTATTTCTGATATTCTCTATTTTTGGGGACAATTCCACCCCCTGAGCGTGCTTAAGGATGGATTTTCTAATTCGACATGCTTATTTCAGTCATGAGAATAAATTTCTCTTTGTATCAAGAATCGTGCTACAGAAAAATTCACATACTGTTTTTATATATTTATTGGTAATATTCAATTCTTCATTTTGGGCATCTTTTCAACCCCTAAATAGGGGTGATTTTTGAAAATATTCAAGAAACTAAAAGCTATGCTCATCTTAATTTTTTGCGACAAGTAATTTGAGACCAAAAATANAAAGTAATTCAATCTGACTGTTTTACACTCAACGCCTCAATTATCTAAACAAATAAATAATATATTTATATTAATTGAAATTATACGTAACAAATGGCCGGTAATAATAATGCAACTTTTGAAACTTGCAGCATGTAGCAAGAATTAGATGCTGGCAGCCCCCGACAGCAGAGAATTAAAAAAAATACATAAAAATATGTTTTTGGTCGCAAATTACTTGTCGTAAAGAAACTGAAATGAGCATAGCTTTTAGTATTTTGAAAATAAAAAATCACCCCTACTGAGGGGTTGAAAAAATGCAAAAAATGAATTTGGATATTACCAATTGATATAAAACTATTAGTATGTGAATTATCGTTATATATTTTTTGGAATTTTTACAACTATTTCTGATATTCTCTATTTTTGGGGACAATTCCACCCCCTGAGCGTGCTTAAGGATGGATTTTCTAATTCAACATGCTTATTTCAGTCATGAGAATAAATCTTTCTTTGTATCATGAATCGTGTGACAGAAAAATTCACATGCTAAGTTTTTATATTTATTGATAACATTCAATTCTTCATTTTGGGCATCTTTTCAACCCCTAAATAGGGGCGATTTTTGAAAATATTCAAAAAACTAAAAGCTATGCTCATCTTAATTTTTTGCAACAAGTAATTTGAGACCAAAAATATATTTTTATCTATTTTCTTTAGTTCTCTGCGAATTGTGAAAAAACGGGCGATTTTTGCATTCACTCTTTACTTGTCTGGTAGGGTCAAGGATAAAGCAGTACTAGTTTATCATTTTTAAAATGGACTGCCCAAATGGTATGCAATCATTATGCCTTGTTGACCAATTTAAACTCTGTTTACTTTCTGTGTGAAGCTATTGAAGAATAGTGAAAATAGATTATAAACAAATAATATGAAGAAAATATTTAGAAAAATATAATGCAATAGGAGACATATCGTTTAAAATTTCATAAACTTGATACCAAGCTTCATCTACATAGAATATGGGGACACTCTGTATATTAAGTTGTATATCCAATTTTCAAAGCAGAGGAGTAACATTTAATAAATACGATTAGATAAAACAGTATTTTGTTTATTTTTATATTAAAATACAACAAAATTGTAAAATTATTTTGACAAACTAGTCGATAAAATACAAAAACATTAAAAGTTTGTTAATAGTCGATATATAAAAGTTTATTCCTGCTTGACAGGTTTGGTCGAAACTAAAGCTTTACATATTTCTCTTCCAAGTGCAGCTCCTAAAGGTGGCGGTACAGCATTTCCAACTTGCCTGTGTTTATCCAGTATATTTCCAAAAAATTTAAATCTATCAGGAAATCCTTGGGAACGAGCGCATTCTCTTACACTTACAACTCGATTCTGCTCTGGGTGGAGCACTGGAAGAAAAGTTGATGTAAGTTCTGTTTTTAACATTTTGCATTCCAAGAAACATTGATTTTAAAATTAAATATTAAATATTCACGCAACTTCCCCCGTCTTAATCTTTCCGACTGCTCAGGCAAGCAGGTGATTTAGTGTTCGGCTCAAAAGAAACCTTTTCAGGTAGAGACTTTTCACGATGCAATTTTTATGTAGACTGGGGACCCCAGTATTTCAAAGAGTATAAATATCCCTATTCTGGGATGAGTAGTCTTAGGTATACTTTTTAAAGCTTTTAAATGGAAAAAAAACATACCCCTTCCTTGCTTCCCCATGGGTTCTGGATTAGTTATAGTTGTTCCAAAAAATCCATCCCATTCAAGTCTACCATAGAGTCCAGCCCAATGGTTATGTCGGTCAGCTGTATGAGGAAGGCACCAAGGAATCAACGTATTGAACTGTCTATCAGAAGGATCGCACAGACCACCAGTGGCACACTGACATACCCCTCGAGGTGTATCTTGTTTTTTTTGTTTTTTGGTACTAAAATATTAATACTTATGCAACACAAAAATTAATAAAAAAATAATACAGTGTAAACTCTTTATAACGTCGTTCATTATAACGAAAAACTTCCTATAACATAGAAATTAGGTCAATTTGATTGGTTTAAGTCAAAACCCATACAAATACACTCTTTATAGCGCAACAGCCATTCTCTATTACGAAGAAATATGTTCATATTTAGACGCCAGCAAATATTTACAGAAATATTTAATAGTGTATTTGTTTTTATAATCAGCTTACAAAAGGTTCCGACTAAATCTTTGAGGTTTGACTGACAAAAATCTACATGTGAGCAAATCAGTTTTATATTCAAACGAGTGATACTGCTCAGAGTTGGAATTTTTTGGAATGCAGAAAGTTCTACAGTTGAAATTCGGTTTTTGCGAGTTTTTATAAAAAATCCGTTTACGCCATTTTTATTTTATATCAGGTATAGACCTAAATATTTCAATACAGGGTGTCCCACCGGGAACTGCTTCGATCGATATCTAGGAAAGTACTGCTCTGAAAAATTTGTAAAGTTGGCAATATGTCAATGTCCCTGGGGCAAACACAACTAAAATATCTACAACCCTCCGGTTATACCGGAAGTCGACACCAACTTCCTTATTTTAAATGCGACACTTGCATTTTCGGATTCTATGCGACTTTTGAGAGATATTAATATTTAAAGAATAAATTTGACAGACGCAAGGGTCCGTGGGGGTGTTGGTAACTCTTTTCAGGAGCGTGATATCAAGCGGATTTTTGGTACCTGTAAAGGGCACAGGTAACACTAAGTTGTGATATACCAACAAATTAAAACATTTACATGTCATCTGCTACTAGTCTGTACTCAGCATTTGTCAAAAGTGTGTAAATATGAGAGGAAAATTGTAAAAGGAAAAATAATATGCACTTCAAAGTTATGCAAGAAATTTATAGAAATTCCTTTCAATATGAAGTGAGATCTGCCATTAAAATTTTTTCTTATATTATTAACATGTAACATATTAATCAAATATGGAGGGAGATCCAAAAATAACTGGACATTTTTAAACAATCGGGAATTTCTTTTGTAGGATTACAAACGTTAGTCACACTTGAAGTACTCTCCATTAATACTAATACACTGGTTCAATGTTTTTCCTACTGCGCAGAACACCTTTTGTAATTGTTTTTTCCAAAGCCCTGTCGGCCAGCCTTTGATCCTCTTTTCACCTCCAGAATGTCTGCAAAACATTTCCCTTTCAGTTTCCTTTTCATCCGGGAAAATAAAAAAAAATCATAGGGTATCAGATCAGAAGAGTAGGGTGGTTGAGGCAGCAGTGTCGTGGTTTTTCACGAAAAAAATGACGCACTGAGTTGGCTGTGTGAGCTGGAGCATTGTGATGGTGGAAGAATCAATCCCTATTCCGCTAAAAATCGGGTCGTTTCAACAGAACCTCAAAACACTCAGGTAGAAGACTTGGTACACTGTTTGATGTCCACTCTGAGTGAACAATGCCATAAACGTCAAAAAAACATATTAACATTGTCTTCACAGCCAATTTGACTTGCCGGGCCTTTTTCGTGTGAGGGCTGCTGTGGCCTTCCATTGCGACAACTGTTGCTTTGCTCCTGGTGGTGATTTTGTCGAAAAAGTTCTCATCTACTGCCAAGTGGTTTAACAAGCAACTCAAGCAGCGACACGAGCTGCCTTTGGTCAGAAGAACAAGAGGGGGCCAAATTTCGCCACGATTTCTTTTATTTGCTAAAAATTGAGCTCCACGAAAGACTAGATAATTCAGCAAGAACATCATCTTTCTATCCTTGTACACAAGTACACAAATTTTTTCCATGTCTTCATCAGTTCTGGACGTGGATGGCCGATTTGGGTGTTAAATGTCTCCCATCGACATGTCGCTGCTTTTGAATTGTGAATTCCACTCTTACACTTGAGTTCTTTTCAAGGCATGTAGCATGTAAACTGTAGTCAATATATGCATGTCCGAGAACTTTTACCAAGAAGAAAACAAAATTTCAATGCTGCATGCTGTACTCGAATATTAACCATTTAAAAAATCGAAGAGGTCGAAATAGTTGTCCTATGAAAACTATCTCAGCGGTTTGCTATAACTGTCTCAAGCGATACCACTTGTCACACTGACTCAAGAGGGGTTACGTAACACCCATCTAGCGGAAAAAACTTGAACTATAAAAGCGGCGTACACAGTGAATTTTGTCGTTATTTTTGGGTTCCCATCGTATATTTATTGTTATTATTACTTGTTCGGATTATCAAAATACTAAAAAATATATTTAATGAAATGATCTTTTATTCTGGATAATAAATTTGCAAAATATAAGTTGTTGTCGTCTTGAAAATAAATTGATAACTGAAATCTCCACTGCAGATTACATTTGGACCCACTTTTCAGATAACAGATTATTTCAGATCAAGAAATAAATCAATTCTGATTAGCGCGATTTTGGATTAACGTGTATTTGGACTACTGAAGATGTACTATACAGGCAGTCTCACATCCTTACCTATAGGTGTAACGCAAAACCTTCGTCATGGTCCCGTCATTTAATTTCACTGATATATTAGGTAAATCCCTCCAGTCTGCCCCAGGATAAGTTGGAATTTGCGACATTCTCGCCTCAACGATTGGTGACATTTCTTTGCAAATATGATCTCTCACTAAGTCGCTTTCATCAGTTCCTCTCATTAATTTTTGAAAGTGGGAAACAGCGTCGCCATCATATGGCATTTCTGTTTTACTACACCCATTTTTTATATCGGGTAAATCTGACATTGAATCTCGTACACATATCGTTCTATAAGGTGCAGATTCAGTCCATTCACAGCCTAAAAATGAAAAAAGAGAGGTTATTAACATTCAACCTAAATAACAAAAGTTATCGCCAGGATGACCAGTTAATGTCTTGTTTTTGGGAACAATTTCTCTAATAAAAATATAGCGCTATTAACGTAATATAATGGGATATTCAATAACTTCTCGCCGTTTTTCCGTAAAAATGAGTGCTTTATTTAAAAAAAATTGGTAAAAAACATGTCACTGTCCATCGCTAGCCTCTACTTTTTCCCATAATTTTCCTGGCAGCATTTTAATTTCATGTCGGAAAAACAGCATGTCTCTTTTGAGGCTATACAAGAGTCGACCCATTTGTTGGCATCTTCATAAGAATGGAAATGCTGCTCAGCCAGGTCATGTGCCATCGATCGGAGCAAGTGACTTTGCTCATATAGCGGTCATTTTTCAATCCTCCGCTCAAACTCATCAATTGTGTTTGGTAGCGTACACCAGTGATGGTTTCATTCGGTTTGAGCAGTTCATAATAAATTACACTCAAAAAATGCCCCCAAATACAGAGGAGAAGCTTGGAACCACAGATATTCAGTTTTGCTGACGATGTTGACACATGGCCCCACGATTTTCTACGATTAGAATTATCATTACAATATGATGCGAAAAACCATTCCTTCTACAAATATTTGTTTTTTTTTGCACGAAATTCGACATGTTACACTCCAACAAAATAACATACACTGAAAGTCAAGCTTGCTTTTAGGACTTTTTTATAGATGCATTATCACCACGAGAGGGCTCTATTACATAATAGACAACCAGCAATACATTTTTATAGATTTTATTACATCGTTTGTCTGAATATGAATTAATGCACAAATAACAGACTTTCTACCATCCTAACGTAGATTTTCTATAAAATGGAGTTAGTTTGAAACTCAAATTACTTTTCGTTATAAAGAAATTTGTAATTTGCCACTTTTGAACGAGGGTCATCGTAAATTACTAATTTCTTTACACCAAAAAGTAATTTGATTTTCAAACTAATTCCGTTTTACAGAAAATCTGCGTTAGAATGGAGGAAAGTCTGTCATTTGTGCATTAATTCATATTTAGACAAACTGTGTAATAAAATCTATAAAAATGTATTGCTGGTTGCCTATTTATTTATTTAAATTATTTGTCCAACCACCAATTACAGGACAAAGTATATAATATATTATTTAACATGTGAGCATACATAACAAAATGTAAAGAATAAATACAACAAACATACCGATAAGATAGTGTAACAACAAATGAAAAAGAAAATAAGAAAGAAAAAGAAAAGCTACAACTACTACCTATGTTAACAATCATGAATTGTTGACACTTCTAAAAGCTGTGTACAGATGNTTACACTCAAAAAATGCCCCCAAATACAGAGGAGAAGCTTGGAACCACAGATATTCAGTTTTGCTGACGATGTTGACACATGGCCCCACGATTTTCTACGATTAGAATTATCATTACAATATGATGCGAAAAACCATTCCTTCTACAAATATTTGTTTTTCGGCACGAAATTCGACATGTTTACACTCAAACAAAATAACATACACTGAAAATCAAGCTTGCTTTTAGGACTTTTTTATAGATGCATTATCACTCTAAGAGGGCTCTATAGCAAAAAGGTAACCAACAATACATTTTTATAGATTTTATTACACAGTTTGTCTAAATATGAATTAATGCACAATCAACAGACTTTCCTCCATTCTAACGCAGATTTTCTATAAAATTGAGTTAGTTTGAAACTCAAATTACTTTTTGATGTAAAGAAATTTGTAATTTGCCGCTTTTGAATGAGGGTCATCGTAAATTACTAATTTCTTTACACCAAAAAGTAATTCGAGTTTCAAACTAATTCCGTTTTATAGAAAATCTGCATTAGAATGGAGGAAAGTCTGTCATTTATGCATTAATTCATATGTAGACAAACTGTGTAATAAAATCTATAAAAATGTATTGCTGGTTGCCTATTTGCTACAGAGCCCTCTTAAATAACATGCTTGCAGTTCAGGTGACACCATCTGTTGGAAAACAGCGAGAACTTATTCAACGTCCCCATATAATATAACATTATCGATATTACCATTATAATAACGTGAACCGTCTACAGCAAAAGACAACTGTGTTCCTCTCCTATTAAACACATGTAACGGTTCGGGGTATTTTGGTAAATTGTAACCCGGTGCCGAAGCCATCAAAATAAGCCTCCTTCTTGTTTGCGGAACCCCGTAATGTCCCGCTTGTAATACTCCAAAAGTTACTTGGTATCCCATCGCAAGTAGACATCTTAAGGTAAGCTTTAAAACCATACTTCTTTTAAAAGATACGAAATTCCTGACGTTCTCCAGAATAAAGTATTTTGGTCTAAAATTTTCTTTGTCACTATCACGGTAAAGAAAAAGAAAATACAAATTTACCTGTAATATTCACAGTAACTAAGGAAAGAAACAACTAACGAGTTCTTGAAAAGAGAATACTGTCCCGCATTGAATCTATTCATTCCTGAAAATCCCTGACATGGTGGACCTCCTACAAGCATCTCTACTTCACCTTTGACTGGAAGACCTTTTTCCTTTGCCTGTCCACTTAGAACCAATTTTAAAAGTGAATTACAGTCGTCGGTGAATACTTTACAGTCTGGATTGTTCAAACGAAAGGCTTGCGCCGCTGCTACTTCTTTCTCAATCTAAGAATAATTAAATTTAATCTAGAAAAAAAAAACAAAAATTTATATACTGATATATTACCGCCCATTTGGCTTCGGCAATTCCCGACTGATGTAATCCCTCTGAGAGTCCTCCGCAACCAGCAAATACATCCATACATTTCAAGGGAGTGCTTATAGTCCCCCACTCAAGAGGCGATTCAGGTAATTCTTTCTCCGATTTAACTTTGCCTTTGCTTTTACCACCTATAATACACAGGATGTGTCAAAAAAACGTACCACAGATCCTAAAATTATCTTGTTATGTGGAGATTAAATATATACCTTTGCCTTTCCCCAATGTTCCTATTCTTCTAGCTTGCATTGGAACTTCGTCATTTTTGTGAGTTTTAGGATTATACGATTCCGTAAAGTAAAATCTAAACGGCCCTTTCTTCGACCAGTCGCTTGTCGATTCTAAATTGTCACCGAAAGCTAAGTAACACTTGCCTGCCACGTTTTCAAATGAAGTGGTTATAACTAAAATAAAGGAATATATTCCGATACTTGTGACATTAATAAATTGTTACCTTCTTCCGTGTAATACAAGAAATTTAAATCTTTAACGTGCGACAAGAAAATTGAGCTTATAGTGTTTTCTGGTCGATAAAATATCCTAGTTTTAATTTTTATCGAATTATTTTGCTTTTGTATTTCTTCAATAAGACCTATAGTGAATGGTTCTGGTGTATCTATATTAGACCCTTTAATGTTATCCGATTTCTTTCTATAAAATTCTGGATATAGGGATTCCTCAACGTTGTTTTCTTTCTAAAATCAAATTTCATAAATGTGAGGGAAATAATAATTTTTCGGTACTTACAGAGTCGCCCGTTTCTACATCTCTGTTATTTTTAAAAGCGTATGTATCGGGTTTGAGGAAAACTCCCGTACCAACTTTGTACTCACTATTTTTCCACTTAATACAACCTTCGTCATATATAGGAGTGTTGTACATTTTCTTCTCGGTTCTATACCTAAAAATAGTGAAATAATAATAGTAACAATAATGCAATAATGTAAGTAATAAGTTTTACATACTTGCAGGAAACACATTCATCTGAAGTTTCAGAATCCAATTCAATGTCAATAAATCTGTTTTCTTCTAACCTTTTGGTGTAAAAGAATGTTTTTCCATCATCTTCTAAAGGTTCTTGTAAGTTTATTTCACCACCTAGATCAAACCAGTTGTTTGGCTGTTTTCTGAATTCCACCTAAATTTTTTTTAAAATACAATTAACATAAAAATTGTTAACTACGCGTATGTATTCATTCGGGTGATTTATTTACCTCTGCCTTATGAACAATAGCTCCTAGTGGTAGGTCTTCACAGCTGTCTACTAAAAATAATTCTCTAGGATCCGATGTTTCCCCTAAAATTGTATCAGCACCTCGACAAAACAGATGTCCGTGAAACATAAACTTTTGTGGGGGCTTGTCGTACATATACACAATTTTTGCAATACATAGCGGTTCATTTGGGTTTTCTGGCTTCAGTGTGACAAAGTCCCCAGGTTTTATAACGATTTCACCTTACATAGAAAAATTATTACATAAAATGCAAAACGAAATTAACAACAATTTACCCACGACAGCTGAAGAATAACATTCATTTCCTTTATATTTTTTTGTTAATTTTTCTCCCCATTTAACATTGTGTAATATTCTCTTAGAACAAATTTTCTTTTTTTCTTTCTTTAGCTCGATTTTTGTGTCAGTTTCATCTTCGTTATCTGATAGTTCTGCGTCTAGTATTGCCATATTTGGACACCTGCATAATATGAATTTTTTTATATCCAAATTATTTTTTAAATCGTAACAATGACCACGTTATTTATACGAGAGAACTGTAAGTAATTCGACAAATGCCAACAGAGTTTTTATATGTATATAAAAATTGAATTAAGCACTGTTCTCACAAAAAAAAGTTAATTCTTTGTGTTGTTTGTATTAACTTTTTAATGTGTTAATGATTATTGATTTTTCTTTAAATTTTTGTAAAATTTTATACATGCTGTACAGAATTTTCAAAAATATAGATCAAGCCGTTAATCAAAGTACTTATCTATGGGCAAAAATAACGGGACATTCCTTATGCCACAGTGTCAAAATTATGACTAAAATCTCTAAATAAAATTTCTATAATCCCATTCTAATTGCAAGGATTAGCTCAGAAGTCGGGGATTTGTGTGGGAGGGGGTGGCATATTATTATTCAGTAGGCCGCATGTGGCCCCAGCAACGACTTTCGTTGGTAAGCCCTAACCATCATTTAGCGCAGGAATGAGGGGAACCTTGAAAACATTAATTAGGTGGTTGTCAAACGCTGACCGGTATCAATCTCTGACGTTGACTCAAGCCAACATTCTTTCACTCTACGTTACCCGCAGAGAGGGTGACTATTTCCTCTCTATGAATATAGCTGATCTGCGGTCTTACGGCCGCGGAGATCGAACTCGCGACAGTAGCATTCATTGATTCAAGTATAGACACCTCAAACTGCTCGACCACCGTCCGTCCGTTTAACTCCATTGTTATCAAGATATTTAGCTAAAACTTTGCATAGACTTTGTAAGAAACCACATATAATTATATAACTAATTGCATAATAATAATATTACAATACAGTACAATTATAGTATAATTGTATAATTTTGATTAAAAAAAAGCAAAGCAAGAATGGAGGAAAGGAAGTTGACACCTTGTATCTTGAAATGGAAAATTCTAAATGAAAAATTTAAATTATTTTTGTTCAATGAATTATTATTAATAGCTTGATCTACTTTTTTACACCATATTCAAAAATTGAAATTTTCAAAATTATTTTTTACTAATCTTACAGACATTGATTTACTTTTTTCTAATATCCCGTACAGAAACCAGAATTTTCAGAAATTAGTTAGGTACTGAATTTGACTTCCTAATTAAGCAGTTCTACTTTAACATGAGATTTACTTAACTTATTTTTTGCAAAGTCACAAAATTAAGAGACAAATAAATAGGGATGTATGCAATAGAAATAATGCCTGAACTAATAGGGACATACACAGCCTTTACAAATGATTACAAGCCTCGTGACGAGCAATTTTGTTTGGAGCAGTAACTTTATTTCCTTTGTGTTGGCAATTAAATTTTGATAAAATTAAATACTTTATTCAACCAATCGGCGATCGCATTAACTCGAGTGTAGACAGATTTGTCATTGTTCATTGCAAACAAACCATTACAACTGATGATGTTAAGATTTAGGTATTTTTAGTTGACAGTGCTAGCCGTGCAATGTTGGTTGCCTAAGCTCGACAGTCACATGGCTTGTAATCATTTATAAACATTCTCTATATATAGATGTTAGTATATTTTACCTTCGATTTTTACAAGCCTGCTTTGACCTCCCAGATCCTCCAAATTTCAACATATCTTTACAATGATTACATTCTCCACAATCAGGAGACTGACAAGCTTCACACACTCCGCATCTTTTCTTCTTTGGAGCTTTGTTGTCATCTTTAGTGTCCTTATTGTCGATTTGATCCAAGAAAAAGTGTTCGAAAACATCTCTTACGAGATTTGTTGTCACAGCTTTAGTCCAAATGGGTCCCTTTTTAATCTTTAGTCCCTAATGAATTAAACGAAAGAATGTAACGTCCAAAACTTTACGAGATACTCACTTTGTTTTCAGCTTTTCTCATCTTTTTACCCTTTTGGAATGTTACTCCTGCCATTTTTACAAGGGAACGCATACAAGGCAGAGAAATTAGTGGTTTTTCATCATCTGTAGATAATGCGTCATAATTCACTACCTAGAAATCACAATTTTTAATATAGTGGGTCGTCTTCGTATGAACTGGTGGATTAGTATAATAATGCAATATAAGAGTATTATTGTCATTTAGTAAAATAAAGTTTCATTGCTGTGGTTACACTGAGAGGGAAAAAGTTCAGTTCAATTGAATTCTCAGAGTTCAGAGTTCATGGAACTCTAGTGATTCAATTCAGGTGACGACAAACACTCATTATGAAAAAGTACTTTGAAAAATCGTTCAAATGCATGCATAAGTGTATTGATCTTCATGGAGAATATTTTGAAAAACAATAAAGCTATATACGATGATTAATTTACTTTTTGTTCTCTATTCCCGAAATATAAAAGGCAACCCTCGTAAAATTGTCAAATTGAAATTTGATGTAAAACAATAAGAATTAAAAAACTGGGTTTTCCAAAATTAATTAAGAGATATGACCATTATTTTCATACCTGATTGCATATGAATTGAGCATTTTGAAGTAGAGTGTCTTCTACTGCCGAATACTCTCCTGAACTCTCTACATGTTGAACTAAATCTTCATAGTTTGGATTTTCCCATCCTTGATCAAGTAGGAATTCAATGACCATTTTTGTCAATTTAATTTTTCCTTGAATTCTTCTAAAAATAGATTCATACTCTGGAGATGGATCCATTAAGTAATATTCTGCGTAAGCTGTTGAAAACCCTATAGGTAATCTTTCTCCGCCATCATAACCTGCAGTCCACCTAGGAAGAGTCTATATTTGTAATTGTAAATTGAATAAACCCATGTTTCCAGTGTATAACAAAGACTTGATTTTTACTTATTATTAGTGATGTTAGATCACTGTAATCATGCGAGAAGTTACCTAAATAAACACACGTCTTTACATAAAAAAAAAACCTATATCTGAAAAATAACTGTCTGGCAACAACGCAATTGCTTTCATCAAATCAGCTCTTTCGCTAGATGTCAAATATCAATCCACATAAAAATTACAGGGGATTATTTTAAAAATACATACCATTCATTAATAGGTCCTAAGTCATGAGCCGGGATACCATTATTAGTGCTGGGGTCCTCTTCATACACAGGTTTAATATAACCAGAAAAAAATAATTCAACATTGCTTTCTACGAGTCCGCTATCAAATGGGCACAGGTGCCCTTTATCATCATAAACACTGAAGTATGTAATCTACGAAATTTTTTAAATTTTTAAATAACCTGCCACAAATCTGTCGTGTAATATAAAAAATATTAAACTGTTACACTGATATTAAAACTAAAAAGAATAGTTAATTGTTTACTCAATTTCATCCTTTACTACAAAAAAATTACTTATATTTTAAGTCACCGTAACATGAAATGTAGACGAGATCTGACTATTGCAGTTTTCACTTTTGCAACTGCTTATATACTGATATGAGTAAATATTTATATTGGTCTGTTATTTGGCAATCCACTTTTGAGATATATAAAATGGGAAATATGTAATGTCCATAGGGAGTTATAAATATCTTTAACACCCTCGATAAAATTAAAAAAAATTAACGTGGAAATTAATAATACAATATTATAAATTGCAAGTAACATTTTTTAAGGTCAACACATATCGAAATAATTCAGAATTAAATGGAATAGTAGNAATCAACCGTAACTTGAAAACAAAATGCAGCCTCAAGCTAAAACTTATAGACGATTCAAGTCTCATCATAGACTATCTTTTGGCACACATTTGGAGTAAATTTATGAGGTCTCACAAAGGAGCGAAAATTTCGGTCGCTCTTTTGATAAAATTAAAAATTATTAAAACAGTAAGATCAAGATCACGTTAAAACGCAACATTCTGTTGCACCGGCTGATGATTGATGTAATTTTTCTTAATACTTTATTCAACCAATCGCTGATCGCATTATCTCGAGTGTAGACAGGTTTGTCATTGTTCATTGCAAACAATTACAACTGATGATGTTAAGATTTAGGGATATTTAGTTGACAATGCCAAATGTGCACTGTAGGCTGCCTAAGTTCGACAGTCACGTGGCTTGTAATCATTTATAAACATTCTCTATATACAGGGTGTTTGGAAAAGTTGGTACAAATTTGAGGGGGTGAAAATAGAGCAAAAAATATTAAAGAAAGTTCCTATAAACATTGGTCCTCCGGAGCACAATTACCGAGATATGGCCCTTCAAAGAGATCTTATCATTTGGATATTTTTTAAAATAACTTTCTTTCTGATTACTAGTATAACGGAATGAAAATTGTACATAATAATAACTACCATAAATTTAATCAGAATCGGTTATAAATAAGGATAATTTTGTAACTACTCAACAGAAATTTTTCGAATTTTTTTTATTCTTTTGAATTATCAAGCAAATATTATTTTTTAATGAATTGGACTTTTTTGAAGAAAAAATGTCTACTTTTTTTTCGAATTCTGTGTAGTTTAGTCAGAAATTATTATTTTTTAAATAATGTATGGTTCAGAACAATAACTTTTTTTAACATGTTCACATAGTAGGCATCTTTCATAGTGACAGTTTCATTGTAATGATACTAATGATTGTCACTTTCGCGTGCTATGATTTAAATTCTTCTTTCTTTATTTTCTTAATTATTGTGATCTTTGTGCTGAACTCTGCATTTCATTCGGTTTTTTTACAACTATGAAGCATCATGCTTTTACTAACCGTGAATATGCCGCCGATACTCTTTTTGAGCCGCCAGACTATTTCCATTACAGAAACCATAAATAAAATGCATATCGGTATATTCACGGTTAGTAAAAGTATAATGGTTCGTGGTTGTAAAAAAATCGAATGAAATGCAAAGTCGAGCACAAAGATCACAACTAAGAAGAAACAAGAATTTAAATCATAGCACGCGAAAGTGGCAATCATTAGTACCATTACAATGAAACTGACACTATGAAAGATGATTAAACTTATGGTAGTTATAAACTTAAGGTAGTTAAAAGACCATTATAGTATAATTATTACCTACAATTTTCATTCTGTTATCTTAATTTTAAAAAATATCTATATGATAAGACCCCTTTGGAGGGCCATATCTCCGGAGGACCAATGTTTATAGAAGCTTTTTTTACTATTTTTGGCTCTACTTTCACCTCCTTAAATTTTGTACCAACGTTTCCAAACACTCTGTATATAGATGTTAGTATATTTTACCTTCGATTTTTACAAGCCTGCTTTGACCTCCCAGATCCTCCAAATTTCAACATATCTTTACAATGATTACATTCTCCACAATCAGGAGACTGACAAGCTTCACACACTCCGCATCTTTTCTTCTTTGGAGCTTTGTTGTCATCTTTAGTGTCCTTATTGTCGATTTGATCCAAGAAAAAGTGTTCGAAAACATCTCTTACAAGATTTGTTGTCACAGCTTTAGTCCAAATGGGTCCCTTTTTAATCTTTAGTCCCTAATGAATTAAACGAAAGAATGAATGTCCAAAACTTTACAAGATACTCACTTTGTTTTCAGCTTTTCTCATCTTTTTACCCTTTTGGAATGTTACTCCTGCCATTTTTACAAGGGAACGCATACAAGGCAGAGAAATTAGTGGTTTTTCATCATCTGTAGATAATGCGTCATAATTCACTACCTAGAAATCACAATTTTTAATATAGTGGGTCGTCTTCGTATGAACTGGTGGATTAGTATAATAATGCAATATAAGAGTATTATTATCATTTAGTAAAATAAAGTTTCATTGCTGTGGTTACACTGAGAGGGAAAAAGTTCAGTTCAATTGAATTCTCAGAGTTCAGAGTTCATGGAACTCTAGTGATTCAATTCAGGTGACGACAAACACTCATTATGAAAAAGTACTTTGAAACATTTGTTCAAGCGCATGCATAAGTGTATTGATCTTCATAGAGAATATTTTGAAAAACAATAAAGCTATATACGATGATTAATTTACTTTTTGTTCTCTATTCCCGAAATATAAAAGGCAACCCTCGTAAAATTGTCAAATTGAAATTTGATGTAAAACAATAAGAATTAAAAAACTGGGTTTTCCAAAATTAATTAAGAGATATGACCATTATTTTCATACCTGATTGCATATGAATTGAGCATTTTGAAGTAGAGTGTCTTCTACTGCCGAATACTCTCCTGAACTCTCTACATGTTGAACTAAATCTTCATAGTTTGGATTTTCCCATCCTTGATCAAGTAGGAATTCAATGACCATTTTTGTCAATTTAATTTTTCCTTGAATTCTTCTAAAAATAGATTCATACTCTGGAGATGGATCCATTAAGTAATATTCTGCGTAAGCTGTTGAAAACCCTATAGGTAATCTTTCTCCGCCATCATAACCTGCAGTCCACCTAGGAAGAGTCTATATTTGTAATTGTAAATTGAATAAACCCATGTTTCCAGTGTATAACAAAGACTTGATTTTTACTTATTATTAGTGATGTTAGATCACTGTAATCATGAGAGAAGTTACCTAAATAAACACACGTCTTTACATAAAAAAAAAACCTATATCTGAAAAATAACTGTCTGGCAACAACGCAATTGCTTTCATCAAATCAGCTCTTTCGCTAGATGTCAAATATCAATCCACATAAAAATTCAGGGGATTATTTTAAAAATACATACCATTCATTAATAGGTCCTAAGTCATGAGCCGGGATACCATTATTAGTGCTGGGGTCCTCTTCATACACAGGTTTAATATAACCAGAAAAAAATAATTCAACATTGCTTTCTACGAGTCCGCTATCAAATGGGCACAGGTGCCCTTTATCATCATAAACACTGAAGTATGTAATCTACGAAATTTTTTAAATTTTTAAATAACCTGCCACAAATCTGTCGTGTAATATAAAAAATATTAAACTGTTACACTGATATTAAAACTAAAAAGAATAGTTAATTGTTTACTCAATTTCATCCTTTACTACAAAAAAATTACTTATATTTTAAGTCACCGTAACATGAAATGTAGACGAGATCTGACTATTGCAGTTTTCACTTTTGCAACTGCTTATATACTGATATGAGTAAATATTTATATTGGTCTGTTATTTGGCAATCCACTTTTGAGATATATAAAATGGGAAATATGTAATGTCCATAGGGCGTTATAAATATCTTTAACACCCTCGATAAAATTAAAAAAAATTAACGTGGAAATTAATAATACAATATTATAAATTGCAAGTAACATTTTTTAAGGTCAACACATATCGAAATAATTCAGAATTAAATGGAATAGTAGAACATTAAACATTAAGGTAACATGGGTGTTATAGGATAATACTGTCCTTGATTGACTGTCAATTTCGGGAATATACCCTGTACTATTATCCATACAACATCCTAGATACTTTAATGACGATAAAGCCATTTTACTTTCCTATTGATTTTAAAGAATATATTATAAAAAATTAAGAAAATTGTTTTTATTAAAATACATATAGAAGTTACTAAGAATACCACTAAGTTCCTTGTTTTTATATTATTTGCTGGTGGATAATTTAAGAAAAGGCAGTTATTTGTTAAAACATTCCTTTATGTACTTCAAAAAGGTATACCTATCTCTTTTGTGTAAATGGGAAGTGCGTGTGTATATACAATTTTTAGAAGTACTTTTTGGCAATTTATATTTTATAAAAAAATTAAGAAATTTTATGACAAGAAAAAAACTAATGTCTATGGGCGACGTTAACCTGGAATACAAATATGGGACAATTTAAAATATCGGAAAACATAATCTTCTAGATCTAGAGCGAGTAAATAGTACATGACGGAAAACCTAAGGACCACACCATGCTGACATTAAACATATAAAAAAATATATATAAAATACTTCATTGTATCTATCAAAAAAATATTTAACATAATTAGAAAACCTTTTTGAGATCGTATTATTAAACCACTATTAAACATTTTTTGTCCATTTTGAAATTTTTTGTCATAAAAATTACCCATATGGGCTTACAAAGCATTCCTCCAGGTAAGGTCCCACATTTCTTTATCAAAATATGATAATTTTAATTTTCACTAGTCGCAACTGGTTATTGTACCTTGTGAGTTGGAAATTCATCGTTTTCATTGATGTTTTCTTCTTTCCCAGTGTATAAAGACAACTTTTCATCTGTTAAAGCAATGAATTCTTCATTTGAATTGTTTGGGTGACCATTATATACAGGAGCCGAGTCCAGAAACTGTTTACATCTGATACACTTTTCAGGTTTAAGTTTTAAATTTGGGGAATCTATTTTTATTTCTTCTTTTACATTATTAATTACTTCAGTTTTTATTTTTTTAGCAGAGTTGCATTCAGCATTTTCTATAACTTCAGAACAAACCATTTTTGTGCAGAATGAAAATGTATCTTCTTAACAATCGATTATTTGTGGAAACCTGTAATTCTTTTAGATAATTATTAAGTACAATATAACAAATAGATTTGTACTCAAAAAATGATTTTGAAATTACCTAAAAACACTAATATTGCGTACAAAACATTTTATTATTTTCAGACAACACAGACGATACTGGACAATACACTCTCACCGGCCATAAAAATTAAAAACGCGGGAAATAAAACCACCAAATCTCAGGACTCAGGAGCACCAATATTTAGACTTCAAATGTTTCTGAATTTAACAAGCGTTTGAATGGCATCTTAGAGAATACATTACATGGAGGAGGTACGCTTAAGGCGATAGTGTAGACGTGTGACAGAGAGAGAAAGAGCTAATTCGGGTACTTTATTTCTCTCTTGCGCTTGTTTACTCTCCTGATCAGGGAGATTAGACATTCAAATAAAATTAAAAGCGAAAGATAGAGTACCCAAACTATCGTTCTTTTTCTCTACAACGTCTACACTCCTTAACAAGTGGTGCTTCTCTATGTTATGCATAGAATAGAAGAAATGACGTAATCGGATTAAATCTTAAATCTATACCAAATTTAAATCCAATTATCATTAGTATTTATTATATTTGTTATTTTTATTGCCTTTTTATAATAATTTAAGTAACAAAATGTTCCTTTTTGAGCCACATTTTCTTAGATCTGAAGGTTTTGACAGCGCTGCCCCCTGGCCACGGATGGCCTAACTTCTCATAAAATCTGTAGGCAATGCCAACAATTATACCATGGAGACTAATTAGACATACATCTTGTCTTGTATAGGTATTTATTGATAATAATAGGCTTTTTTTCGCGAGTGAAGTCGTATGTTGTGGTCACATACTTCCATACATACACATACCAAGCACTGCATATCTTTTACATTGAATGACCTTGTTCCCAAAAAGAGGGGATAAAAAGTGTACATGTTGCACTTTGTCAATTTTGCGCAAGCCCGAANGTTTTATTTTAAATCTGTTGACAGTCATTCACTTCACATACCACATTACCATATTTAAATTATTTTCGAAACTTTTTATTTACCATTATAAAAACAAATTGTAATAATTATTGACTTGACTTCTAGTTTTTACGTTAGCATACCTCCCCGCTATATTTACTAAACTCATTTATAATATTTATATATTTATAAATAAAATTGGTTATTTGCTTACTTCACTCGTACTTATTATGCTACATTCACTTGGGTCACATGGAACACTAGCGCCACCACAACTTCTGCCATTTCTTGGACAAATTTTGTCAATTTTCCCGTATGAGTTTGTGCTCCTTATCTAGTCTCCCTGGACTAGACATTCAAATAAAATTAAAAGAGAGAGATAGAGTACCCAAACTATCGTTCTTTTTCTCTACAACGTCTACACTCCTTAACAAGTGGTGCTTCTCTATGTTATGTATAGCATAGAAGAAATGACGTAATCGGATTAAATCTTAAATCTATACCATATTTAAATCCAATTATCATTAGTATTTATTATATTTGTTATTTTTATTGCCTTTTTATAATAATTTAAGTAACAAAATGTTCCTTTTAGAGCCACATTTTCTTAGATCTGAAGGTTTTGACAGCGCTGCCCCCTGCTCACGGATGGCCTAACTTCTCATAAAATCTGTAGGCAATGTCAACAATTAGACCATGGAGACTAATTAGACATACATTCTTGTCTTGTATAGGTATCTATTGATAATAATAGGCTTTTTTTCTCGAGTGAAGTCGTATGTTGTGGTCACATACTTCCATACATACATATACCAAGCACTGCATATCTTTTACATTGAATGACCTTGTTTCCAAAAAGAAGGGATAAAAATTGTACATGTTGCACTTTGTCAATTTTGCGCAAGCCCGAAAATTTAGCGGATTATTTCAAATGAAATTTAATAACTGTTGTGCTATTAACAGAGCAAAATTACTGTCGTGGAGTATGACCGATTGTATTGGTAACGACGGCATGGGCCCTCGGTGGAGACCTCGGGAGTTCTAATCGAGCTCCACGTTGGAAACCATGTCGCAACCTGTGATCTGGGATGTCAGTTCCCTTGACCGGGTTCCGCGGCAGAAACGCACGGAGTTCACGGGGATCGTCGCTATCGACGCCCGGTCGCACTATATTCTCTGACGACTGGAATCTGTGGTGGATATGACCTACAGACGTGGTGTCTAGGACACGAGCTCGCGGGGGAGATCTCGACGAAGAAGGTCGAGCTCCGCGTTGAGCGTCG